CTTGGCTCAGCACCCAAATATCATTGGGATCAAGGACAGCGGTGGGGACGTGAGTGGGGCAGGACTTTCCCAGGGCTGCTTACCACCAAACCTGCACCTAAGCTGGGAATGGGGACCTGGGACTTGCAGCCCTTCCCTGGACCCCAGGGCTGCCAGCAGGCACCCTGCAGCACGGGGGACTGGGTGATGCCTGCCCCAGGGCATAGCATGTCTCTCCCCAGATCACCCGCATGGGGCTGATGGTCCACAAGACAAGGCAGGAGGATTTCCAGGTGCTGGCAGGATCAGCCAGCTTTCTGCTGGCAAGCTATGCCGTGGGTAAGTACAGCTGCCCATCCTTGGCTGGGGGCACTGGCAGGGGGAGGCAGGTGAGAGGCTGGGAGGTGCTGGGCAGGCACAGCATGCTGAGCTGCCAATGTGTCCTGGTGTCTCTAGGTGCCTCTGGGGGTGTGTGTGCCCTCGCCAATGTTCTGGGTGACCCATTGTGTCAGCTGGACCACCTGTGCCGCAAGGGCCAGTGGCAGGAGGCCCGTGACCTGCAGCACCGCCTCATTGAGCCCAACACGGCGGTGAGCAGGCAGAACCCCTGGGATGCTGAGGGGAGGGGGTGCCAGGCCATGACAGAGGCAAAGAATGGAAGTCCCTGGGGCTGCAGTGGGTGGAGGGACGGTTCAGGGGGACAGCACCTTGGCCAGAGAGTTGAGACGGGCTGGAGGTGAGAAGGTGGGAAGTGTCAGCCCTGTCATATTAAGAAACATCCTGTCCACTGGCACCGGGCACTGCCTGACCCTCCGTGAGAGGCTTGCTGGCTATTTATAGGCAGTAGTGTTTGTGGGGGAAGAGCTGCTCCTTCCTGGGCCCCTCATCCTACTATGGAGTGGCCTTTCCCTGCTGCAGAGCCCAATGTGCCACAGAGCTCCTGTGCAGAGTCCTGTGTGAGTGTGCTCTGCACCCCCACCCCACAGTGGGCACTTCTTGGGGTGCTGCAGCCACCTCACACTCTGCCAGCCTGGCAGCCCCACATGGGGAGGCCAGGAGTGATGGCAAGCAAAGGAGAAGAGGCTGCACAGCAGAGCCCAGAGGCCATGCTGGCTCATGGGAGGCAGAAAGCCTCCATGCCCTCCCTCCCACAGGTCACCCGCCGGTTTGGGATCCCAGGGCTGAAGAAGGCCATGGAGTGGTTTGGCTACTACGGAGGTCCCTGCCGTGCACCCCTGGCCCCTCTGAGTCCTGCCCAGGTTGAAGAGCTGAGGAACACCTTCAGTGCCAATGGCTGGTTGTGAAGTGCTCTCCATCTGCCCCTTCCCACACCAGGAAGGTACAGGAGTCAGGGACCCTGGAACTGGGGACATTCTGGGTACACTGGGAGGTGGCCAGGAGAGGGCCACCCATGTTACTCTTTCCTGTTGGACAGGGCTGCACTGGGAAGAGTGGGTAAAGGAGGGCAACCCTAGGCCAGCCTGCATCTCTGCCAGCCCCCAGGGTCCTGTTGTCTGCCTGGGAAGGGGTGGATCCTGGTGCCATGAATAAACTGCCATCTCCTCTCTGTCTCCAGTCCTGCCTGTGCAAGGCCCCCACGCCATCCCTGCTCCCAGCAAAAAAGACATGGCACAGGTGTTTGGCAACATGGTTTACTCAGCTGAGGCCCGTGCAGGCAGCAGCACAAGGCAGGGTCACAGCAAGGCACGGGACCCGGTGTAGGCAGAGACTGGCAGGATGGGCACGGCCCCTGCAGCCTTGCACTGGGCAGTGAGGGCTGCTGGGACCCCTGTGCACCGGGGGTGAGGGTGAGCATGCAGTGGGGAGATGAAGGACGCATGTAGGGGGCAAAATGGGGAACTGCGTGCCCCCTGCCTGCCCCTTTGCCATACCTCTATCCCCTCTCCAGGCCTCCTGCTCCAGCCCTGGCACCCCCAGGCAGCCCTGCTCATGTACCTCATTCTCGGTTCCAGCTGACCCTTCTCCTTGCTCACCATTGCTACCATCCTTCACCAGCATGCAGCAGACATGTGCCAGGCTGAGCATTCCCCACTCCCTCTTGGTGGGTATGCTGCTGCTGCTGTCCCAAAGGCAGTGAGTGGATGGGTGGATTGGCACAGGGATGAGGGGAACACAGCCCACAGGCTGGCCCTGAGAGCAGGCTGGGGTCTTTGGGGACACTATGTCACCATACCCTGGGCATGCAGGGGCATGGCCAGTCACCCAGAGCTGAGGGTGCAGGCCACGGTATGCCCGGGGTGCCCACCCTGCCTCCAGACCAGGGCAGCAAAGTGAGCCAGGAGCTGCCCCTCTGGGGGCATGCGGTTCAGTCAGCAGCTTCCAGCCAAGGCACCCTGGCAGTGGGGACAGGGACCAGCCTCTACCCCCCCTGCTCCATCCTTTGCAGCTGGCTAGCAGCCGTAGTGGTCCACAGTCTTCCTGGGGGGAAGAGGGCCAAGCCCCTGTTGCCCTGTCCTTCTGCTACTCCAGCAGGTGCCAGGGCTACAGCCAGAAAGAGAAGGCACCTCGGCTGCCCCAGGGCACTTGGGTGGAGAGTGAAGGGCCCCACCCCCTCCAGCTGCAGGGGTTCGGCAGGAGGAGGCTTGGAGGGGACGAAGGGCAGGGAGGCACCCAGCAGTGCCACATCCCTTCTCCAGGACCAGCAGGGCCAGCCAGTGCCCAAGTAGGGGGGTCCCTGCTCTGGTGGGAGGGGATGTGGGGCACCATCACGCTGTCAAGCTGTGGGCAGATTTGGAGGCACCCTGGGCCCTCTGGATGATGGCCGTACACTTCTCCCGCCGCAGCAGCTTGTTGTTCTCAAAGAAGCCCTCGTTGCGGGGCACACCGTGGGAGCCATCAGGGAAGGTCAGGAGACCTGGGGAGGGGAGGGAAGGGCTGGGACTGAAGGGGAAGGGAGCCGCACCCACTGGGGATGGGTCCAGGAAAGGAGGGACAAAGCGGGAGATGCTGGAAGGGGCCGTGCAGATGCCAGCACTCACCGAAGCCGTACACGCGCCCGCCTTTGAACTCGCCCTCAAAGGTCATGTTGTCACAGCGGGTGAAGACTCCAACGCCATTGAACTTGCCCTGCACAAACTCCCCCTCGTACCTGTGCGGGAGGATCTCCTGAGGTGGCAGCTCCCCACGGCAAGTGGGAATGCCCAGGGAGGTGTAGGCAGGAGTGCCCACCTGGAGCCATCGGAGAAGGTGAGCACGCCGCAGCCGTGGAAGAGCCCGTTCTCAAAGTGCCCCACATAAGCAGTGCCATCAGCAAATGTCAGCTGTCCGATGCCGTGCCTGCGACCTAGGTGAGAGCAGAAATGGGCAGCACTGGACAGAGATGAGACCTGCCCCAGTGTGGACAGAGATATGGGGTTTGCTTGTGCCCCAGCACAGGTGGCACCGTTCCCTCAGGCCACATCTCACCTTCTTTCCACTCGCCGCGGTACTCCTCCCCGCTGGAGTAGGTGAAGGAGCCTTTGGTGAGGGTCATGGCAACAGCCTCTGGCACAGCAGGACAAGAGCTGGCAGGGAGAGGCACAGAAAGCTGCTGGGCAGGGAGAGCAGCTCGACTTGCCCAGAGCCCTTGCATCCTCTCAGCTTGCAGAGCTGAGTCTGTCTGCCCTGGGGACAGCTCTGCTAGGGCACAGCACAGATGAGGAGGTGACCCCAGGAGCACAGCTGCCCTGCCCAGACTCTGAAACCCCAGCCGCCTGGTTCGGGTTGCTGCCCACCCCACTGCAGGGCGCAGGGAGATGTGAGCCCATGGGGGTCACAGCCCTGTGAAATGTGAGTGAGTCGCAGGAAGAGGAGAGTGACAGGAACTGGCTGCCGTCGTCATGGCACTCCAGCAGACCCCCAGAGGTCCTGCTCTGTGCAGGCTCAGGCCAGGGGCCACTCTCAGCTTTGCTGGGGCAGTCCCAGGCAGAAATAAGTGTTTTGGAGAGGAGATGCTTGCTAGATTGTGTTCAGTGGCAGTTCTTCAGGAGAGGGAACGGAGAGCTTGTGGGGTTTCCAGATTCAGCGTCAAGAATGGGCAGACCCGGCTCACCCCCAGGGATGAGAGAACACTCCTCCTAAGAGGGACAGCAGAGATAGTGTCCTGGGGCTTGAGGGCTTTGCTCGGCTACCGAGGGTTTGCAAACTTGACTGCCAACAGCAAGCAGCTCCAGAAGCCCTACACACCTCACTGAGCCCTGCCACGTAGCACAACTCTCCCCAGCACACAGGGAAGGCACCAGAATGGAAACAGCCCCGCAGGTGGGCTGGGCGCTGCCTCTCCAGCATCTGCCGGTGCAGCTCAGGCAGTGCCAGCGACGGGAAGGGGCTCCCAGCATCTAAGCAGGGTCTGTCTGCTTACGGCCGGCTGCACATCACCCCAGAGGTGGCTTCTGAACCACACGAACCAGCAGGACGCGGCTCTCAGGAGCACAACAGGAGCTTCCCCGGGCTTTGTGTCCAGAGAAATGGCCCCAGCCAAGGCGAACAGCGACTGAACAGTGCTCTCTACTGATGGGAGGGACCGGGAGCGCATCGCCGGCTCCCACCCTGCAGCCTGCCCGGCCATGCCAGGCGGAGGAGACAGTGCCAGCGCGGACTGTGAACTCGGCCAGCACGGCCTGTGACACTTAACCCGAAGTACGGCACTCCACGAGCACTCCAGCCTGCCCAGCGCCCGCTGCCACCACCCCGAGCCCGCACGTACCGCGCCCGCCGCAAGCAGGGGCAGCGCGCCCAGCACAGCCCGAATCGCACAGTGGCCGAGGGGAGCATGACCGCATTGAACCACACATCCCCGGGCAAAGGCACGGACATCCTGCCCGTGCCACGCACCCATGGGAGATACGCGCACACCCCACCTGGGCAGTGTGTCCGGGGGCGTGACCGCGCCCACGGGTGATGCACCCACACTCCGATGTACCCATATCCCGTCGTGTCTCTGTCATGCACCCACATCCCGATGTGTCCGTGCATACACGCCCCGCCGTGTCCATGCACCCACGGCTGATGCACCCACACCCCGGTGTGTTCATGCACCCACGGCTGAAACACGCACGCCCCACCACCGGGACACGCGTGGCGATGTTCACGGGCCCGGTGCGTGCCCAGGAGCGGGACAGGCGGGGCGGGGGGCGCAGGGACGCGCTACCCGCGCTCACCTGGCTCCGCGCTGTCCGCCTACACCTCTCTCCACCAAGTCCCGCCGAGGGGCGGTGGCCACCACCGCCCCTGCCAGCACCCCGCCCCGCCGGGCGGTGCCACGGCGCCAGCGTCCATCCCCACTCGCCGTTGGCTGTTTCCACGGCAACCGCTAGCAACGCGATTGTTCATTGGCCAGCTGCGCAGCACGCCCTCGCCGGCCGCCATCTTTGTGTGGGGCAAGGTGCTCGCCGCCGCGGGCGTGGCTGCGGAGGGGCAGGGCCCTCGCCCTGCCGCCATCTTTGCAAAGGGCAGCAATGGGCACGGCGGCTCCACAGCGTCCATCTTTGTGTGGGGTACTGGCGCCAGCCGCCACGGCGGGTGTGTGCATGGGACGAACACACCCTGGCCTCCCCGAACGAACGCTGCGAGGCGCGAGAGATTCCCAACTAGCCTCAGCGGTATCATGGCCGCTGCTGCCCACGCTGTTCCGGCCGCGGCGGCCGGGCTGGGCGTGGCGGGACGGGGGGCGGAGCAGCCACTGGGGTGTGGCGGGGGGCGGAGCAGCCCCTGGGGTGCCGTGACGCGAACGGAAGCGGAAGCGGCAGCAGCGGCACGGCGGGGCCGGGCGGGCGGCGCGATGGACGAGACGAGCCCGCTGGTGTCTCCTGAGAGGGCGCAGGGCCCCGACTACGGGCTGCCGGGGGGTGCCGTGCGCGCCCTCCCGCCCGCCGCGCCCCCGCCGCCCTCCCCTCCCGGCTCCCCTGGTGGCCGCGACCGCGAGCGGCAGCCGCTGCTGGAGCGCGGGGCGCGGGGCCCGGCAGCGGCGCAGGCCCAGGCGCAGGCCCAGGCGGCGGCGGCGGCAGCAGCGGCAGCGGCGGCGGCCGCGCAGCGGGAGCGCAACGACTTCCCCGAAGATCCCGAGTTTGCCGACGTGGTGCGGCGGGCTGAGCTGGCCAGCGAGCGCGGCATTTTCCCCGAGCGCATCTCGCAGGGCTCCAGCGGCAGCTACTTCGTGAAGGACCCGCAGGGGGTGAGCTGAGCCTAGCCCCGCGTGGCCGATCCAGGCGTGGAGCCACCCCCGTAGCTCCGGAGGCCTGTGGGATGAGCGGCGCTGGCCGGGAGTGACCGGGCGCGGAGGGCTGGTAGGAGCGGCTGGAGCGGCTCTGAGCCTCCCCGGGGAGAAGTACAGTGGCACCAGCAGCGAGAGTGCGGGGCAGCAGTGTCCAAGTGCTGATTCAACCTCTTCTGGGCTTTGTGCCCAAAGAGGAAGGGTCACCCCCTCCCGCAGGCCCATGCATCAGCATCTGAACACGGTGACTCCAGCCCCAGGGCTGGGACTCTATGGGCTGTGCTGTTTTTGGCCTGTTTTTTTGCACTGAGTGAGATGTCTTCTCTGTGGCTGTGTGGTTGGTGTAGTGGAGACAAAATCCTTGTAGCTGGTCCCCTATAGACCTAGTCAGCTGTGTGGCAGCTGTCTTTGTGCCTCTGATGGGATGAGTGTGCAGCACAGTCTGGCTTGTCTTGTGACCTGCTGCTCCTTGCCCAATTACTTGAGCTGTTGCTGTTTCCTGTGACTCCCTTGCCACGTGTGTGCTGGGATGCTTCCAGGGAAGCAGGAGTGGAGTGAGCTCTGTGGTCTTTGGTGTGTCCTAGTTTTCCCTCTCTGGGTGAAAGCTGGCTCCTGGAAGCTGTGCCAGGCAGTTCCCAGCTCAGCTGATGGCATGTGGGGAAATACACACTTGTGCCACAGCCTGGTCCTGCCTATTGCCCAATATGAGACCTGGAGTGGGCAGCCAAATGAGCTGCCTGGGGATTGCAGGTTGGAGGCTGCCTGGCTGTAGGAGACCCAAGCTCAAGGACAGCTGCTGGAGCATGGGCATGAGGACCCAAAGTCTGCATACTGCTGGTGTTGTCAGCTGGCAGGTCCCTCAGATTATCCTGCTGTAGGCAAACATGGTATGTGACTGGTTGCTGTGATTGCTGCCCAGAGTTACCAAAAACATCCCACTGTTGGCACAGGAGTGCAGCACATAGATATTGTGGGCAGCAGGGGGAAGATTTTGGGGTGTGGGGGGGAATTTTTCACTTTGATTATTTTCCCTGAGGCTACTGGGGCCTGAGCTGTTCCAGCTGGGCTGTGCTGCTCAGCCCTGGTGGTTATGATCACCCCACTGCTGGCTGCTCCTCTGTGCTGGCCAGGCTCCCTCTGCCTTGCTGCTGGCACCAGGCAGACCTGTTTTCCCTGTCAGTGCTGCTCTCGGCATGGGTCTGTCTGGAAGGTGATGCTGTGCTACCAGGCCTCTGGTTTCTGCTTCCATGCTGTCCCTGCCTGGCTGGGCCTTGCTCTGCTGGACTGGTTCCACGGAGCACAGGGCTTTGTGCTGCCGGAGCTCCCGACAGGCCTCTTTGCAGACTTATAGCCAAAGATGGGTTTACAGTCCTGTGACAGCCGTGTGGGGCTGATGGGGGTGGGATTACCTTCCTGCCTGCTGAGGGGAAGTGGCTCCACCATGTGATTTGGACACGGCTCAAGTGATCCTGTTTCCGCAAACCTTTTCTTTCTGTCTTCCTGGTGGAAAAAAAATTGGTTCTGCTTGCTCTGGCCTGGCTTTTGGCCCCTGACAGACTGAGATTGCATTGAAGTTCCCTGCTGAAGCACTGGGACTCATATTCTACTTCCACATTCTGGCAGGAGCTCAGCTTGGGGAAGTGACGCCCACTGGGGCCAGGGCTAGCAGTAGCCAGGAGGAAAAGTGGTTGCTTATGCTGCTGAGTCACCCCAGAGCAGGGTCTGCCAGCCCCCCGGGGATGGTTGACTTGTGGGGACAGGTGGCCATGCTCCCAGCTCTTCTCTCATCTGTGTGCCATGGCAGTGCTGGCTCAGTGGTCATGTAGTGCCCCGCACAAGGCTTCTGTGCCCTCTGTGGCACTGGGGTACCTTTGCTGCTGTCCCCACTGTTGGGTTGGTGTATGCGAGGCTGGATTGAGGGGCTGGGACTGCTGCTGGTACCAGCTGGTGGCCAGTTTGGAGCTGCCCTCTCATCCACAGTGTACCCAGAGATTTAGCCCTTCTGCTCGACCTCCCAGCACAGGGCCCTGGCTCCTCAGGTGTCCTGCAGGTGCTTGGCTGTTTTCCTCTGTTCAGTTTGGGATCACCTCTGTTCAATGGAATTTTGAGCCAGGGCAGGGATTGCTATCCCTGTCCCTTTCCTGTGTGGACATAATGATCAATGATGAGCAGTAGCTCTCCCCAGCCATCCAGAGGTCGCTGGAATGAGACTGATGTGTTTACCACGAGACTGCATCATCACTGGTGTTTTTTGGGACACATGTTGGGTATAAAGGTCTCTGTGCAGCACCCTGCTCTTGTGGGATGGGGTACTGGCTGGAGAGGGGTTCTTCCTAGCTCTGCCCACCTCCCTCCCAGGAGCTGAGGGGTTTTGCCTGGTCCTGGGAGGCTGGTTGTTATCCTAATGAAGGGCAGTTCTGGACGTGTTCCTTAGTGTCCCCTCTTTGGGTTGGGGAAGGTGTCCCAGCTCTGCCAACTTCCTGGACTCAGCTCTCTTCTCTCCCACGCACAGAAAATCATTGGTGTCTTCAAGCCCAAGAATGAGGAGCCATATGGGCATCTGAACCCCAAGTGGACCAAGTGGCTGCAGAAGCTGTGCTGCCCATGCTGCTTTGGGAGAGACTGCCTTGTCCTGAACCAGGGCTACCTGTCAGAGGCAGGTGCCAGCCTGGTGGACCAGAAACTGGAACTCAACATTGTTCCCCGCACAAAGGTGAGGGACAGCTGCTGGGGTCTTGTTCTGGGGAGGCTTTTGTGTGCTTCCACACAGTCCTGCTTGCACCTTATCTTGTGGCACTACTGACCTAGGAGACTGAGCTCTAGACTAGGACTGTTCCTGCTCAAACCGTGAGGATCCTTGTGCTGGGCAGAGCTGTGGGAAATGCTGTGTCTTGGTTTTATTGGGCAGTTCTGTGACTTGCCAGAGGCCCCTGCTGACTGTACTCATATCCCTCCAGGTGGTGTATCTGGCCAGTGAGACCTTTAACTACAGTGCCATTGACAGGGTAAAATCCCGAGGAAAGAGGCTGGCCCTGGAGAAAGTGCCCAAAGTTGGCCAGCGTTTCAACCGCATTGGTCTGCCACCCAAGGTAGGGCTGCAAGCTTCCATGCCTGCCTGTTGGCACCTCCATGGCCTCTTGCGGACTTCTGTAATGCAGCCTGTCCTTGCTTCAGGTGGGCTCCTTCCAGCTTTTTGTGGAAGGCTACAAGGATGCAGACTACTGGCTGCGGCGGTTTGAAGCTGAGCCGCTCCCAGAGAACACTAATCGGCAGCTGCTGCTGCAGTTTGAGCGGCTGGTGGTGCTGGATTACATCATCAGGAACACAGGTAGGGCCACCTGCCTGGCATTGGATGCTGCCTGCTCCTTTGTGTCCTACCATGCTGAAGAGAGGGGAGGGAGATAGGGTCTTGGTGGCTTTTCCCTGCACCCGGAACTCGTATCCCCTCAGCTCCTGGACTGCTCACTACCTGAGGATCCAGGAACATCCAGAAATCCAGCACCCAACTGTGCCCCTGTATCCCATTTCACACCGTGTTCCTGGGTTTCTGCCAGACTGGAAGGGATTGAGGTTGCACTCTGGGCTTGCAAATTGACCTTTCTCTTGGGAGCTGGTGGTATGTGGACCTCTAGGGCTGTCTGTGAGGGACTTGACTTGGCTTCCCATGCCTGCAGCAAGTTTAAGGGCTCTGGGAGTTTGAGCATAAGATGTGTCTGTCTCACTTCTGGGTGAGAGGAAGAATGGTCTTCTGCCCAGCGTGGTGCAGCCCTGGTGTTGACACAGCTGGTTTTATCTCCCTGCAGATCGGGGCAATGACAACTGGCTCATCAAATATGACTGTCCCCTGGACAGCGCGGGCACGCGGGTGAGTGGCTGCTCCTGGGCAGGGGCAACATGGGGAGTCTGCTCCTGGAAGTTGCCCACTTGGCAGGCAGGACAGGAATTTCCCATCTGGCTTGGGTTTCCAAGTCAGAAAAGGCCTGATCTTGTTTCCTGGGCCTTTTGTTTCCATTTGCATTGGTGGTTATGGCCTAGTGGGACTTTGTGAGGATGCAGCTGAACTCTGTGGGGGAAATGCTGGGGAAAACTAATGGACCTGGACTTACTGGACCTTGGAGTGAGGCCTGGAGGAGAAACAGCTTTGTCCCCCTTCCCACCCAAAGCAGACTGTTTCCCTGTGGTTAAAGAGCTGTACTACGGGCAAGAGGCTGCTGTGCCTTTGTGGTAGCCAGGACAGAGATCCTGACAGTGGGGCTGTAGGGAGTAGAAGGACTGTTCCTGCTGGGAGGACCTCCTTGTGACATGCTTCACTTCCTTCCAGGACACCGACTGGGTGGTGGTGAAGGAGCCCATCATCAAGCTGGCTGCTATAGACAATGGTTTGGCCTTTCCCTTGAAACACCCGGACTCCTGGAGAGCATGTGAGTCCCTCAGGCTATGCCAAGGCACCATGGCAAGCCATACAACTCCATGCCTGGGCATCCTCCTCAAGGACTATAGAGAAGAGGGCTAGGGGTTGTGCCTCTGGAGCTTCTGGATTCATGGGCAGCTCCTCAGCAGAGACTGTAGAAGGCAGATGCTAGATCTTGTGTTCCAGATGCAGGGAATCTAGCACCCAGGGGCATGTGGCACCATGCGTTGCTTTCCCCAATTCTAATGCTTCCTGCTTCCTTCCACAGATCCGTTCTACTGGGCATGGCTGCCCCAGGCCAAAATCCCCTTTTCACAGGAGATCAAGGACCTGATTCTTCCCAAGATCTCAGACCCCAACTTTGTCAAGGACCTGGAGGAAGATCTGTATGAGCTCTTCAAGGTGAGCTGGAGGAGTGGGTGAAGATGGAGGATTGGGTGAAGATGAAGGAGGAAAAACAAGTGGTGTTGGGGATCTCCCTGTCAAGGTTGCAGGGGCAGAAAGGTGGTCAAGCTCCTGACAGTGTTTCTGGGCTGAGGCACAGCAGGGTTATCTTTCTGCCAGGAGCTGAAAATTCATTGTGGGAGAAAGAAACTCAAGGGGGAGGAGCTTACTTGGGGAATAAGCATCTTGTTCACATCATGAAGCAGTGGGTGGATCACATTGTGTTCTTCACTCTCCCTCTTGCAGAAAGACCCTGGCTTTGACAGGGGACAGTTTCACAAGCAGATTGCTGTCATGAGAGGCCAGGTAAGCTGTGCATAGGGAAGACAGATGGGTGAGGTAGGAAGCCTTGTCCTGCCTTTGTGGCAGGAAGAGTGCTGGAGTACTCTCTGCTGCTTTGGCAGGGCAACTCAGGCATTGCTTTGTTGTGCCATACAGATCCTGAACCTGACTCAGGCGTTGAAAGATGGGAAGAGTCCACTGCACCTGGTTCAGATGCCACCTGTGATTGTTGAAACAGCGCGTTCCCACCAGCGCTCCGCCAGTGAGTCCTACACACAGAGCTTCCAGAGCCGGAAGCCTTTCTTCTCATGGTGGTAGCTGTGAGAGCCCTGGGCAGGGCTTGGCCACCTTGGACTAGCACTGCAAGAAGAGTTGGGCCACTGCTGGTTCCTGTGGCTGGGACTCGACCTTCAGGGTAGAGCGAGCAGATGCGGCTGGAGGAACCTGCAGCTGAACTGGAGGAGCCAGGCAGATTGGGCATGGTCCCTCCCTAGCTCCATTGGAGCTTGATGCCCTGCCAGAGGGAGGTGTGGGAATCTGCCAGGAACTGTGGCATGGCTGGGACCCTGCCCCTGCCTCTGTTCCTTGGCCTGCATGTGGTTCTGAGCACCCCTGCTTGGCACTGGGATGAACAGGTTACCTAAGCCAGGATCCGTCCAGCCCTTTACACCAGCCACTGGCCCTTTTTTTCCCCCACCATGCCAGCTGCTTGGCTGGGAAGGCCTTTAGCAGGTGATACCCCCTCCATTTCCCTGAGGGTGTGCTGTACTCCTCCACTGTCCCTCCGGTGCCCCAACCCCGTGCACGCTGCTTTCCTCAGGGGGAGTTCCTGCTGCCCACTGGTGTAGCGGGGACCACAATGAACGGCTGTTCTCTGGCTAGAGGCTCGAGGAGGGGACATAAGAGGGACTACACATGGGACTGGCTTGGGTGCAGTTAGACACTAAGGGGAAAAAGGTGCTGGCTTGTCCCTGTGAAGAGCAGGCGGCTTTGCAGAGCTCTCCCTTGCGAGCTCTCCCCTTCTGCCCCAGTCCATTTCTCCTGCCTGCTCTCGCTTGACTTTTTCCCATCTCCCAGCAAGCTCCCTGGCTGCTGTGCAGCCAGCATGGTGCCAGCCTTGTCTGTGCCTAGGAACCCTCTGAAGGGCAAAGGCTGCCAGGGAAAGGCTGGAGGGCCTCTTCTGCCACGTGGGTGGGAGCACTGGGGGGCCAGCATGGACTCCTGGCTGCCCTGGAGCCGACAATCTCACAGGCCTGCTTTGGGTGGGGGAGGCAGTGAGTCCCTCTCTCACCAGCAGCTGCTGAGCTTGTGTTGTATAAAACAGCACCAGGGCTGCTGCCTGCACCTGCTTGCCTTGAGCTGTGACTTCTCAGGCTGCTGGGGAAAGTCAGTGTTGGGTCTTTCTGTCCTGCTACCCTATCTTTGGAGAGTGAGTGGGATGAAGGCAGGCGAACCTGGGAAGGCAGAGCAGCTGCTTTGTCTCCTGCAGTGGGGAGGGGGCTCAGCACTGGCTGTGTAAGCACAGAGGGGGCAGCAGTGGAGATCCTAACTCCCCAGCCAGGCCCAGCTGCATTTGACTGACCCAAAATGTATTGTTCTAATGCACTGTAGAAATGTATGTAATGTATTTAAACCATGCAACCGTCTGAATAACAGAGCTGCCATTCAGCTGGCTACATCTGTGCCTCTGCAGCATCCTAGAGCAGGCTGGGGCTCCTTGGCCCATGGCTGGTATCCATATGTACCTGCACAGGGACACACTAGTCTGCAACTGCTGGAGCTGCTGCAGGACAGAGTCCCTTTCCTGTCTGCTCATGCTGAGCATTGAGGACAACCAGCTGTCCAGGCTGTCCCTTGGCATCCTGTGTCTGCAGGTCCTGCTCCAGTCTCTCCTGGGTTCAATGGGTCTTGGAGAGGAAGCTCTGGAAGCTGGAATTGAGGCTGTCCAGCTGCCACTTCTTCTCGGAGTGGCCACATTCAGACTTCAGGACTGCTTCCTGCAGTTGCTTTTCCTCCTTCAGCCACAGGACCATGGCCTCGAGCTTTGCTCTTTTGGCAGTGAGGCTGGATACCTCCTGCATCAGCTCTTCCAGCTTAGGAATATCCCCCATGACTTCTCCATTCTCCTGAGTGCTACACTCCTCCAGCTGGTCTTCCAGCAGAGAAATCTTTTCCTGGAGCATCTGTTATCTCTTCCAAGCATTCCTTCTCATGAAGGGCAGCATGTAGCTTGTTCCTCAGTTGTCCTTGTGACTGTGCCAGGGATGTTACTGTGTGACTGTGCACTGGAACAGATTGCCCAGAGGCTATGGAGTCTCCCTCCCAAGAGATATTCAAGAACCATCTGGATGCAATCCTTTGACATCTGCTCTAGGATGACCCTGCTTAAGCACGGAGGTTGGAACAGATGACCCACAGGTCTATTCCCACCTGACCCGTGGTGTGAGGCTGTTCCCCTTTCACTAGGTGCCATACACCAGCCTGGACAACAGTTCTGCCACTTAGGGATGGGCAGGACGCAACCAGAGCCTCACCCAAGCCACCACTGTCCACCCTTTATTAAGCATTCATTGCACCCTGCCCAGTACACTTAGGGGTCCTTTGAGAGCTGCTCTCGACGGCTCAGCTGCTCAGCGCTACTACATGGACCCTGAGCCCGTGTCGGCGCCGCAGTCACCCTCCAGCTTCTCTGCGATCCTACGGGCAAGAGGTGTGTGTTAGCGGCGTGGCCCGGCCGCGCTTCCCCCGGTTGCCCCGCTGCGGGCAGCACCTACCGAAGTTGCTTGAAGCGCCGTAGCGCTGCCATCCCACCGCCGGGCTGGGCTGTTCGCCGTCGCCGAAGCCGCCGCAGGGCCCGCGCCATGCGCCGCTGGCCAGCGTACCGCCAGACGAGGCGGGCTCGCTCCGCGGGCCGCTCGGCCCCGCCGCTCCGGAACAGGCTCCGCAGCTCTCGCAGCCCCACGCCCTGGAAGATGTTGGCCGAGGCCCGCTTACGGGCGCGGGCTGCGGGCGCCGCCCGTGCCGGAGAGTCGCTTACCACCGAGGCCGGAGTGCCCATGGCCCTGGCCGCTGCGGGCACCGAACAGTCGGCGTCAGGCTCCGGTCTCCCCACCGGGTCCGGTCCGCCTCCCCCGGGATCCGGCGCGGATGCCCAGTGAGGAAGGGGGGGCGTCGGGGGAAGGGCGGTCTGGGACGCCGGGCAGGGGGCCAGCCGAGCAGGCGGGGCCGCCCGGGAACGCGGGAGACGCCCCGGCTCGGGCCGGGGCACGCAAGTCCGGTCCCGCCCTGCCCGGGGCGCTGGGGTGGGGTGACCCACTTTCGCTCCGACGCCGCCCCGCGCCCACCGGCCCCTCGCACAGACCTGGTGGTGGCGGCTCCGCCTGGAGCCCGCTGCGTTCCCGGACCAGCTTTGCGCCACCGCACCGGGGTCCCGCCACAGCCGCGCGCCCCATTCATTCACTCGCTCGGTGCCGCCCCGCCCCCGGCCCCTCGCCAATCCCCGCCCGCCTCCCGCTGCCAGGGCCATTCGGCGCCGAGGGGCGCGGCTGCCTCGCCGCGCTGAGGAGGCCACGTGGCGTAGATGACGTCACGGGCGGGGTGCGAGGCCTCGCCCCCGGGCGGGGTCAGGTCGCGCGGCACTCCGAGGGGAATCCCGAATGACGTAAGGGGAACCCCGGCGCGCGCCCCCCCGCAGGCCGCCGCACGGGGTCCCGGTGCGCTGTCCCTGGGCCCCGCCACCCGCATCGGTCGCCGTCTCCCCGTCCTCCCGCCGCCCCTCGCGCCCCGCGTTGTGGCCCCCTTCGGCGGCAGGAGGAACGGGAGGGGCGCGGCGATCCCTGCCCGACGGCGCATCCGCGGCCGCCCTCGGGTGTCCGATGGGCTAGAGGGAGGTGCGGCGGGGTGCGGAGGCGGGGCGGGGAGGAGAGGAGAGAGGCCCCGCGCGGGGAGGACCGCTAAGTGCCAGATGTTTGGCAACAGTCAGGGAGGAAGTCGCTGCCGGGGCCCTGAGTCCCGCCCGAGCCGCGCCGGAGCAGGCAGGGCCGCGCCATGGCCCGCACGGCTCCCCCGACAGTGCCGCCGCCCCCGGGGCCGCCGGCTCGCGGCTCCCTCAGCCTCCATCGCGCCTACCTACGGAGCCCGCTGGGCCTGCTGCGCTTGGGGCAGCTGGCTCTGGGCGCTGCCTTCTGGGTGACGGTAGCGGCTCATAAGTACGAGGGGGCGGCCCACTTCGCTCTGTTTGCCGCCGTCCTGGTCTGGCTTCTCACCCTGGCACTCTTCGGGCTGAGCCTGCTGGGGCGCTGGGAGCTGGTGCCCTGGCTGGGCTCCCGCTGGCTCCTCACCAACCTGGTGCACGACCTGGCACTGGGTATGGGGCTCTACGCAGCTGCCACTGGCATCATGGGTCACAAGGCCAAGCAGAGAAGCTTTTGCAACCTGCCGGGCTACAGCCAGCACTGCCTTTACAGTGCCTACCTGAGCGCCTCCATCTGTGGGGGCATCACTGCCTGCCTGTACCTCTTCTCCGGGCTCTATTGCCTATCACGGCGTTGCCAGGACCAGCAAGACATCATCTGAGATCCCGTGCCACTTGGCTCCCCTTCTCAGCTGCAGACAGAACATGGCCTGTCTTTGGGATGAAATGACCCTGCCACCCCATCCCCTCCTGGCTGACTGCACTGCAATTCCTCCAGAGAATCCTGCACAGACGGATGGACAGACAGAGGCCTTCCCCGAGCACGGCTTCCCCTGCAGCGCACTGAGACAGCGTGGACACCCAGCCAGTGCACAGGCCCTTCTCCCACCCTTGGACAGATGTAGGCTACTGCAAGTGGAAGGACCCAAATGGAGAGCCCCCAAGAGGCATACCAATCTTTGTGAGCCCCTCCTAGAACTCAAGCCAAAATCCCCTGCCCCTGGTCTTGCAGACGCTGCATGCTCAGGTGGGTGCCGAGTTTTCCCTGGGGTGGAGGGGGACTGGCCTAGGGGAGCTGAGCTGGGGGCAGCAATGCCTAGTGGAGTTGGATGGGCATAAACTCCCCTGACCTGCTGGCAGCCCTGTCTTGACATTCCAGCTGCATGGCGCCTCCACAGTTCCCTAGGGGAGGCCCTGAACTTGGCTTCCCCAGCCGGGCCCTTCCTTCTGCCTGGCCTGAAAACATCTTTCGTCTTATTGGAGCCGCAAAGGGCTCAGTGCCTCCCTGCCCTTCACTCAGAGGGTGTGGAGACACCCAGATACTGCATGGCCAGAGCAGCATCACCCCAGTCCAGCTTGGAGACTGAGCAGGGCAGTAAGGCCTCTGTTGCTGTGGAGGGAGGGGAAGGACAAGTGGAGCCGTAAACCCTGGGCTAAATTCCTCCAGTGCTAGAATTTGTATAGTCCTGGGATGGGGCCAGGTGCCCCAGGGGTTGAGGGGAGCCAGTCATGGGGTTTTTCTCTCCTCCTGACATCCCTGCAGAGAGGTTTGTGGCTCCTAGCCACCCAGAGCCACTGAACCAGCCCTGTGGCCAGGCTACTCCAAAAGGGATGGAAACAGACTCACTGATGGAGACCAGCCTGCAACCCTCCCTGTCTCTGCTGCACTTGGTTTATCATCCTGGAAAATTTTCATCTCTGGACTCTCTGGGACTGGGCAGTGCCTGGAGACTGTGGTGAGGTGGAGGGGAAGGGTGAACCTTGCAGCATGGCAGTGCTAGGCTGTGCTGGCACTGTCCATAGGGGAGCTGTGGCCAGGCATTGTGGGAGCACAACCCATCTTGGAGAACAGAAGAGGACACTGGCACTGGAGCCAGCCCAGCCCTGGATTAGCCTCCACAACCCACCAGGTCCCAAGCCCTGATGAGGCCATGTAGGGCTGACTAGAGAAATGGGTGGCCAGACAGAATTTTTAGAGCAGCAGCACCACACTGGAACTGCACTGCCACAAGACCTCCTCACCCTGCCTGGAGGCAGGTCCTCTCTATTGCTTGCAGTGCAAGGGAGGGTCTGCTCCGGTCTCTGTGTAGACTCAGATCAGTGAGATGTGTGTCCTCAGCAGCTGGCCACAGCTGCCTATTGCCTGGGGTTGCCTGGAGCCTTTTTTGAGGTGGAGAGCAGCAGCCATGATTCCCCTGGGGGCTTGAATATGTCTGGGATTGGTACTGGGTCACCACTTCCATCATGATGTGCTGTCCCAGTGGATACCCCATATGCTCAGGGGCCCTGCCAAGCCCCAGGCCATGTACCCCTTCCCTGGGTAGGACATGCTGTCTGTGCACTGTGTCAAGGCTGGTCCCTGGCACCGCCTGCCTCTGCCTCACTCTGGTGCAGCCCTTGTGCCAAAATGCCCTCGGTGCTTCTGCCACCACAAGTGCCTTCCCCTGGCTTTCTGCAGCCCTGTCTGTCACATCAGCTCCATCCCCCTACAGCCTCCTTTCAGGTGCCACAAATAAAGCAATGTTGGCACTCACTGGGTGTCTGGAGCTTTGTGCTGGGGCTGGAACCTGCTGGGTATGAGGTCTGAGCTGAGATCACATCCAGCTCTGTAGCCCTGCACCCTGGGCCCTCTCTGCTTGGAGCCTCTGGCCATGGTCACAAAGTCCTGAGGTGCTCTGGGGTCACAGGCAGGCTTCCTGATGCTGAGGCACTGTTCCTACTAGAGAGGCTTAAGCCTCTGTCTATCCCTGGCCCTACTGCCTGTCCAGACAGGGCACAGACTGATGCTCATGTGGGGGTCCAGACAGAGCAGAGGGAGGCCAAGTCCCCAGAGCTCTGTGGCTATGGGATGTACTGAAGACAGGATGTAGTTGCATTCCTAAGGGCCTCGTCACTCCATGCTGAAAGGGCCCTCTGTCCCGGGGCCAGGGCACTACTGGGCAGACATGTACACACTGACTGGCCTTTGGTGGGTCAGGGGCCAATGGAGGGCTGCCAGCTTCTCCCAGGACTGGCTGCAGCTCTGGGATGCACTCTTGGGACAGAGCTGAGTCTTGGACCGGGACCTGCAGCTGGGGTGTCACTGGGTCCCCAGCCTTCTGCCCATGGGACACACGCCCTGTTCATCAGAGGCTGCAGGCAGCTGGCAGCATCATTGTGCCCTCATTGTCCAAGAGCCACCATAGGGTTGTAACAAGGTTACAACTTTTGGCATCAGACGAAGCCCAGGATCCTCAGAGCATCCCCAGGAACCAGCATCCATGCTCTACTGCAAGCACCTTTTAGGACAGCCCATGGCACCCGGAGCAGTGTGAGCACGGCTGCGGGCTGCTGGGCAGGACAGTGCCAGCGCACCCCAGGCTGGGCTGCGTTGAGGGCATGGAGGGGCAGCGAATGAGCTACCAGCCACACTCATGGGCCTGTGGGAAACCTGCTGCTCCCTTCCAGGGACTGTGTGAGGCTGCTCTCTGGTCTCTCCTCGGGGAGAGGTGGCCCAGCAACATCATGGGGGCAAACCCACTGTGCCCGACACAGCTGGATGCAAGCCATACCAAGACCCAGACTGGGACTGAGCCCTGGACTGGGACCGGGTCCAGGCTGTGACTGAGCCCTACACCAGAGCAGGCCCGCATCGGGACGAGGCCGGGACGCTGAGCAGCCTCGGGCCAGGGCCGACCTCTGTGTCTAGACCGGACCCACGGAGACTCCGCCTCGAGCCTCACGCCCAGGGCGGCGAGCAGGCCGCAGCTCGGAGGGAGGCCGGCACGCCGCTCGGAGGGAGGCCGAGCGCCCAGCTCGGAGGCAGGCCAGTACGCAGGGCGGAGGGAGGCCGAGCCGCAGCTCGGAGGGAAGCCGGGCGCCCAGCTCGGAGGGAGGCCGGCACGCAGCGCGGGCGGAGCGGGGCTGGCCCGGAGCGCAGGGGCGGTGCCGCGAGCGGGCCGTTCCCCGGGCGGGGCTCCCGGCGCTCCCATTGGCCGCGCGCGGGGCTCCCGGCGCCTCCGGCCGCGTCACGGGAACGCGCGGCGGCGTCGGGCCGAGCGCGGCGGCGCCGCTCGGCTGCCGCTCTCGGTCCCGTCATGCAGGCGCTGGAGCGGGACGGGGCGGCAGGCGGCCCCGAAGGGGCGACTGGCGCTGGTGAGGCCCCTCCGGAACCGTCGCCGCCCAAGGCCGCCGCCGCCTTCGACCTGCTGGAGCTGGTGCGGAGCTACCGGCGGCTGGAGCTCTACCTGGAGCCGCTGCGGGACGCCGCCGAGGGCGTCCGCTCGCTCCTCCGGTAGGTGCGGGCTGGGCCGGGATCGAGACAGAGACCTTCCCCGGGGTCTCACGCCCCTTGCCTTCCGCCCTCTCGGCAGGTGGCAGCGGCCTGTGTGCTCTCTCCTGGTCTGCCTCGGCCTCAACTTCCTCCTGCTCACCCTCGGCCAAGGTGCGTGTCGGCGGTCAGGGCCGGTCCCCTTCCTGGACCTTCCGGGCTGACGCTGTCCCGCCTCTTCCAGCTGCTTGGTACTCGGTGCTCGCCCTGCTGGTCGCGGTGCCGGCGCTGCTGGGTTACCTGCAGGAGACGTGCCGGGCCCGGCTCTCGGAGCCGGAGCTGGTGCGCAGGAGGTACCACAGCATCCGCAGAGAGGATCTGCGCAAGGTGCAGCTCTCGCGGCAGGAGGCCATCGCCCAGGTCAAGAGCTTGTGAGTCCCTGGGGCCTCGCCCGCCGTGGGACTATGGGGGCCTCTGCAGCCAGAAAGGCTTCTTGGAAGCTCTGGGGGGGCTCATGCTAGTTTGGCTACTGTAACCCGTGTGAATGTGGGGAACGAGGGTGTGTTTTTGTGGGTTTTTTTTGTGACTCTGTCATTTGCAGCCTGATCCAGCTGGAGGGATTTCTGAGCGGGATGTGCTGCAGCTGTGAGGCAGTGTACCGTGTTCTGTACTGGGAGAACCCCACCATCTCTTCCCAGTAAGTAGTACTGGGTCAGGCACCCTGTGGTGGGCTTGGTGGGGAGAGTGGCTCAGTCAGGCCTGTGGTGCTGTGCTTGATGTGTTTGGTGCTTGGAGAGACCAGGTGAAACACCAGATGAAGGAATTTTATGCTGTTAAGTGAGTTGCTCTGATTTGACCACAGTATCCTGCTGCTTTCCACAGGTTTTATGGGGTGCTACTGGGTACTATCTGTGTCCTCTACCTGCTGCCCCTCTGCTGGGTCCTGGCCATCCTCAACAGCACTCTCTTTCTGGGCAACACCCAGTTCTACCAAGGTATGAGACCTGGCTGGAAGTGCCTTATGTGAGAGGGGTTGGGGAAGGGCCCTCTGAAGCCAGGGATCCTGTCCTGGACTTCTCTCTCACATGAGCCCATTGTCCTATGTCAGGCTTCACCACAGACCCTGAACCCCCCCTGTGATGTCCTAGGGGTAGTGCTCAGCAGCCCAGGGTGGGTGGTATGTCCCCAGAGCTCAGCTGGTGGAGATGGGAGCCTCTCCTGATGTGTTTTCCAGCCCAGTTGCTGTTTCCTTCTCTGTGGTGTGGTGAACCAGAGTCTGTCAGTGCAAGCTGTGTGTGGGCCTCTCCACCCCTCTTGAGCCCTGACCTCACTCTTCAGGACTTCAAAGACAATCAGTGTCTGTTGCAGTATATGACAAAGGCTTGAAAACGTGCCATTAGAAGGGAGAGGAGCCCTCCTCTGTGGCTTGTGCTGGAGGAGTGTTGGCTGTATCTGTGATGTGACACTGGCCCCTGCCATTCCCTGTCCTGAGCTGGGGCAGGTGGTTGGGGTGTTCCTTTCTGCCCTAACTTTGATGTTTGAGCAGAGGAGTGCTCAGGACATCTCATGAGTTAATATGTGTCAGTGTGTCACCTTGAGCCCTGCAGATCAGATCTTGCAGCTGGCTTTTGTGTGATGTGGCTGGGAGTAGGGAAATGCCACTCTACTCCTGTTGTATTCCCCTCTTAACCAGTGATAATGGAGCTCAAGGCCTCCATCGAGCAGTGTGTGGGCTCCAAACCCCTCGAGAGCACTCCAGAGCCTGCTGAACCCCTGCCACCAGCTGCTGCCCCAGATCGGACCCCTACCCCCACCAGTGCAGAGGTGAGATAGGGGCAGGGCTGGCAGTTGTGGGGTGGGAGCTGCAGAGTCAGCCCTTGGGTCTAACTGTGCCTGTGTCCCTCTACACACAAACTTCTTCCAGCTGCCAGCTTTGCTGGAAGCCTGTGAGCCACTCTTGTGTTACGGGGGTGCTGCTCTCTGCCTTGGGGGTTTGGCTCAGTCCTTTTGCCACATGTAAGGATGTGGTCTGAGAAGGCAGGGGCTCATCTCTCCTTCTGATACTTGTGTCATCTATGAGGCTGCCTGGGGCCAGATCTGTTGTCCTGGAACCTGCTCAGAAATGTGGGACCACCTTTGAACAGAGGCATGGGACCAGCAGGACTAGCTTTGTGAATCTCTTGTAGGACCTTACCCCTGGCAGTGTGGAGGAAGCAGAGGAGGCAGAACCTGATGAAGAGTTCAAAGATGCTATTGAGGTTTGAGGCTGGTTGGGGTGGGCAGTGCCTGCAGGGCAGCTGAGGTGGGAAAGGGACAAAGACCTTGTTGGGCAAACTGGGTGCTCAGAGAGAGTGACTGTGGGGCTGGGTGCCTCTGACTCCGTGTGTACTCACTTTCCTCTCTGTCCCATGCTGCGGGAGAAGGAGAACCAGCTGCTGGTCATGGTGAGTACTGCCATGCCAGGGTGTGGCATCTCCTCCCAGCTGGAGTTTTGCCTGGTTTGCCAGAGGCTTGTAGAAATGCCAGGTGGAGCACACAGATGCCTGCTTCTGGTGTGGGCTGCCCTGCAGCCCCCAGTGTGCCCCCAGCCACCCCTCTGTGCTCAGCTGGGTCTGCTCTCTGCAGGAGGATGATGAGAGCTCTCAGTGCTCAGCAGATTTTGACCTCAGCCTCCCAGACAATGGTTTTATGAGCAAAAACGAGGTGATCCGCAGCAAGGTGTCACGCCTGACTGAGCGCCTGCGCAAGCGCTACCCCAGCAACAACTTCGGTGAGTTTGGGAGCACGTGCTTCTTTGGGGGAGCTCAGCAATGTGGGGTCTGTGCTGCTTCCAGTGGTGACCATAGGACTGGGGCTGGGGAGAGTGGTGTGGTACCTGCTAGTCTGTGCTGACACCTCCAATGACCTTTTCCACTGCATGGGGAGAATGGTCCCAGCACTCCTGGGAGGGGCAAGGACAGGAAGGTGCAGCAATGTCACCTCAAAGCTGAGCCTTTACAACAGCTATGATATTCTTGTGCCACTTGCAGCCCCAGGCAGAAGAGCCCTGCCTGACCTCTGCTCTCTTTCTTCCAGGGAACTGCACAGGCTGTGGTGCCACCTTCTCTGTGCTCAAGAAGAGGGTGAGTCTTCTGCTTCTGCCCCAGTTTGCTGTCTGCACCTGGGGCAGAGGTGTTGCTCATGTCTGGTTTGCCCCAGCTTTCTCCAGCAGCTCACAGTCTGGCCTCGGTCACAGCCCAAATGACCTCAGCTAAATGCTGGGTGTTGTCGCATGCCTAATGGCACCATGGGTCCCTTGTGTTGTGGAGCATTTGTCCATTTACTCCTTTGGAAACTGCCTCAGGCCAAACCCACACGCTATTGTAGAATGTACCTGCTCTGTGCCCTGGTTTAGTCCACTTCCTGTGGCCTTGCTGGTGAAGCAGAGCATGGGTCTGCTAGTGGGAATGACCTGTTGCCTTGTCTGAGCCCTGTGTGTGATGCTCAGCACACAGTCTGTGGGCAGTTCTCAGGAGGAGGTACAGACTTTTGGCCCCTTCACATACTCCTGGGTTACTCTCATATATGTCTGGGACTCACCTCTATCTTTCTCCGCAGCGGAGCTGCAGTAACTGTGGGAACAGCTTCTGCTCCAGGTGTTGTTCCTTCAAAGTCCCCAAGGCTGTGATGGGAGCCACAGGTGAGTTGAAAGGTGGAGGGAGGTGCTCCTGCTTCCAGCTGTTCTGTTTGCCCAGGCATTTGCTCCAGCCCTGGTGGGGAGGGTAGACAGGATGTGCCCAGCACAGCCTGGCTCAGGACAGAGCAGTGATGAATTTGCAGCTCTCAAAGCAGCTTTGTGGCTGTGGTCTCTAGCCCATGGTGGGAAAAGGGGGATCATCCCTGACACTTGCTTTCCTTTCCAGCCCCGGAGGCTCAGAAGGAGACAGTGTTTGTGTGCGCTGTCTGCAACCAGGTGCTCATCAAGTGATGAAACAGGCCCAGCCAGCTCCTGTGACCTGCACTACCTGACACCTGGGACAGTGAGCAGGCACCCTTGCCACTGGGAACCTGGACTGTTTGGATCCCAGCATGGCATTCCCCTGCCAGAGGATACTTGCACTTGTGCTCCTCCTGCCAGCACCAGGCTGGACCGACCAGCCCTCCTTGCCATGCACCAGCTGGGTCCCTATGTTGGAGCAGTGCCCACGGCTGTGCCCCATCCTTGCAGCTGCTCCAAGCCCTGGGTGCTCTCTGGCACTTGCTGTGCCCTGCCACATGCTTGCCCAGGCCCTTTGGCCTGGCTCAGTGATGGAAGAGCCATCCTTCCTATTCGTGGTCCTGCCTTCACCTCCTGGGTGGGGCAGAACATCCTCAGGGCTCTGTCTCTACTTTCCCCAGCGCTGTGCTGTAAGTGACTGTATTTTTGGGATCAAGTCAGAGCTCCTCCTGCATCCCTTGGGATCTAGACTAGCTAGGTTTATCATCCTGCCTCAGCTGAGACTCTGCTAGTCACTCCTGTGCTCCTCAGCCTCACTGCCTGCAGGTTTAGTCTTTTACCCCTGAATTTGGCTGTAGCCCAGAGGAGGAAAGAGAAGGAGTTTGGGTTGGACTGTGTGGCTGGATCTCCAGTGTGAGAAAAGACAGGAGTTGGTGCTGCTCTGTGCACTTATTGACTGCTGCTTTCTACTACAGATTAATATATAATTACATATAGAGAATAACCAATAAATCTCTTGTCCTCAGCTGGCTCTTATGTCATCCCAGTGAAAGCTGTCCCAGTCCCAGGTCACTCTGACACCTCTGTGGCTTTGGCCCTGCTATCCTGCCGGTGTTCCTGGAGAAATGGTGTTCCTGTGCCACCAGCTCTCCACGTTTTACTGGAATTCTCATCTCTCCTGCTGTAGCCTTGTTTGCCCCCTGCTCAGAGCTGTGTGCAGCTGCCTGTCAGCTGTGCCAGGGCTGGATCCTGCTGGGCTGGGGCCAGAGAGCACCTCAGCTCTGACAGGAGCTACTGAGCTTCCTCTGCCTCCCACGGCTGCTCCTTCCCCTGCCCTCCCCAGGCGGTGGTCCCACCAGCTGCCTGTGTGCACAAGGATGACCTTTCCTTGTGTGAACAGCAAAGCTCCCAGCTATCCCAGGAATGTGACCCTGGCTGCTGTGCAGCTGGGAACAGCCATGGCCTGGGTCCCTGCCAGCCAGCTGCAGCTTCCCCCAAGCCAGGGAATCTGGGGGGGGCAGTGCCCACCAGGCTGTGACACCCACCAGTCTGAGAAGTTGCTGGAGCCCAGACCTTGCTGCAGGCTCTATGTCCCACCAGTGTGGGAGCTTCTATGGGGTAAGCAGCCTAAACACCTATCTTGGCTGTGGGCTCATAAACTCCTTTCCAGATGGAAATTGAGAAAAGCTGGGCTTGGCATTTGCTGATGAGAGTGTCTGGCTTGTGCTGGGTGTGCAGGGGACTGGTGTGCAGAGGGCTGAGCAGTTAGTGGGGGCAGTGGAGTGGGTGTAACATTGGAGAGGGGGGCTGTGTAGCACCCCAAGAGCTGTGGGTGTTTGTGAGGGTGTCTGCAGTGGGGTTGTTGCTGGGCTGGGAGGGGTCAGCTCGCTCAGACAGCTGGCTGTGGGAGGCAGAGGAGCTACTTGTACTTCTGGAGAAATCACTGGGAGCAATGAGCACTTTGGCCATGTATGTGTGAACACTCTCTGGGAAGATGCTAATGACACAGAATACAAAGGGCTACAGATAAACTTAGGCTGTGGGAGATGGGGTTTTATTTATGCTTTTTAAGTTTGGCAATAAAACGTGTTTATTCTTATGGAAGTGTGCTCAGCAGTCAAGCTCTGAACATACTGTCTAATAATATGTGTTTTTTTTTTTCCCAGTGGCCAGGGAAGAGTGCCTGCTCCTGGTGTGAGGCTAGGGCAGGGGCTGGCTGCCCCATGTTCCTGGCTGGCTGTGGAGCAGGGGCACAGGCACCTCTCCCTGGCCAGAGTGGGAGATCTGGGGCTCTGGAAGGCTGACCAGTGGGGCCAGGGCCATGCCCAAGAAGGGCAGAGAGAGAAGAGGACACCCCAGAGCAGGGCAGGTGCGCAGAGTTCTTGTCAGCCAGAAGAGGGTGGGTGCAGACATCCTGCAGGATCAATTTCCTTTTTGTCCCAGGAGGCTCCCTGAGGCCGGGCCAGCTCCGAAGAGAAGACACAGTGTCAGGCAGCCAAGCACTGGGTAAATATCCTGGCGGCCACCTTCGGGCCCCCCTCGCCCTTTGGGATGGGCGGATACAAGTACACACTGAATAGACACGTCTTGTTCAGGGTGCCCCCTTGCCAGCTGGGACTGGGGGCAGCTGGGGGAGTCGGGCTGAGGTAAGGGACAGCCCCTGCTGCCATCAGAGGGCTGGGCTGAGGGCTGTCCTGGTCCTTGGGCTTTTGAGAAGGTGCTGGCTAGTGCAGGTGGGTGTCCCTAGGAATCTTTTTGCAGGAGGCTGGAGGTTGTGGCATGGGAAGTCTGGCAGCCAAGCAGGGCTGGCAGGGAGCTGCAGAGATGACTTTCAGATGATATGGGGTGGGGAAGACAGGGTTTTGGAAGCTGCCTGATCCAGTATCTGCTCCCTATGATGCTCAGTGCCAGGCTTCTCACAAGTGCTGTGAGCTCCCATACCATGGATTTATCCTCTGGGGTGATGAAGGAAGAAACCTCCCCGGCAAACCACTGCCAAACCCCACTGTGGGGCTCCAGCAGCAGTGATGGCCCTGTCCCCCCACCCTACTCATCCAACTGCCCTCGCAGGCTCCCTGGAGTGGCAGGGGTGCCTGAGTTTCCAGTGATGCCTGTGAGCACTGGGAACCACATCCCTTGGCTTGGCTGGACTGCCCAGCTTCAGGCTCCGGGCACGGCACCTGGAGTGGGACTAGAGCCAGATCCTGAGGTGACCTTGCTCCCTCAGGCTGCCTCATTCAGTGGGCAGGACTGAGACCCCCCTCCCATTCTTCTGGGGTCCCTGAGGGAGCCCCAAGGGGCTCTTACCCATGAACTGCAGTGAGTGGCACACAGACTTCTCTGAGGTGGAATAATTTACTGTGGTGTTGTAAGGGGTGCGTGGCTGGGTCACAGCAGGGGTGTGTGTGAGGGATGCAGTAGGGCTGGTCTGGGGTGCTTGGAAGTGGGCCCCCCTCACACCGTGTGGGGAGTGGGGGAGCCCAGGAAGGGTTTGTGCTGCTCTGGCCACTTGGTCTTGAGGGGGTCAGTCTGTGGGAAAAGAGGGACAAGAGGGACCTGGCTGAGCTGGGTCTCTGTGAAGGTGACATAATCCAGGGCTGGATGTGAGCTCCAGGGGAGGGCATAGGATGTGTTGCTGGGGTGGAATAGGGATTGGGGGGCTGAGGGTGTGTGGCATATCATGAGTGAGCTGGGTAAAGGTCATGGGTGCAGGGCAGGGGTCCCAGGTGTAGACAGGAGGGCCAAGCAGGGATCCTAAATGAAAGCATGAGTCTCTGTGCTTCTGGGCAGGGAACCTGGGAGTAGATAAGGGTCTCTGGTGCAGACCAGGGCTCACAAGCTGCAGAACAAGGGTCCTGGGTCCAGACTAAGCTTCTGGCCAGGGATGGGGGCCCTTGGAGCAGAACAGGGGTCCCAGGGGTGCAGAGCAGGGCTCTCAGGAGGAGGCAGGGGTCCTGGCTGTGGATCAGGGCTCTCACAAACACAGCAGGGATTCCTGCAGGTGCAGAGCTGAGTTCTGGGGCACAACCAAGGGGCTGAGGTGAGCAGAGCTGAGGTCCTGGGGTGCAGCCAGGGAGGCCAGGGGTGGGATGCTGGGCCAGTGCAGGAGTTCTGGGAAAGGGCAGCATGGGCAAAGCCCTAGTGCTGCCCAGCCCCATAGAGCAGGGGGTGGTAGAGCGGGCACGGGTAGGAGAACATGAACTTGACCGCAAACTTCATCTCCTTGTTGTGCTTCTGCCAGGGGTAGATGGCCAGGAGGAGCAGGCGGCCGCCCACCTTGCGGCCCATGACCAGGAAGCTGCCACTGAGGCTGTCGAGCTGGGGGCAGGGGCAGGCACTGGCATTCCTCATGTGCAGCACCATCTTCTTGGTGTCCTTGCGCTTCAGCGGGCCCAGTTTCAGCACCTTCTTCTTCTGGGCAGCCACCAGCCGCCGCTCCCCGTTCTCCTCAGTCATCTCCTTGATGCGCATTTTCACCACTGTGTGGGGCAGCCATGGGGCACGGTTGGGGGAAGGGAGCACTGCTGGGGTACTGGGGAGGGTCTAGGCCAGGCACCTGTGCAGGACAGGGTGCAGCCCATCCCTGGGTTGGGTCTCTGGGGAAGTTACTGTGTGGGGAGGGGAAAGGGGTTGTTGGGGAGGGGTCCAGCAGAGGCTCCCAGTGACCCTCCCAAATGTCCCGTTCTGCCTCTCCCCTACCAGTGTGTTCTCCTGTGGTGCACCCATCCCATGCATGAAGAGTCCAAGGGAATGGCTCAGGGCTCTCCAACGGGGCAACCCTGCCCTCTGGCCAACTCCCACCCCAGCTATCAGACCTAGGGGAGGCAGACCCTTGTCCAGGGGAGCTGGGAAGAAGACTCCAGCACTCACCAAAGTCACTGGAGCACATCTGCTCCATCATGCCATCTGCTTTGTGCTCCATCTCACACTGGGTGCAGATCTTGGACACTGCGGTGAGAGACCAGTTACTGTCACAGCTTCCTGCTGCTGGTACTTGTCACCTGGGCCAGCTCCTCGGGGACACAGTTGGGAGAGCCCCAGCAGCTCCTCTGCTCCCTGGGTAGCTGGAGTGATGTGGGGAGGCACAGAGCACCTTACTGGCCAGGGTCATCCCCCCGGAGGGGAAGAGACATGGGGATACCCTCCCATCAGATGGAGGAACTTTGGAGCACAGCAAGAGTAAGGGTGGCTCCAGCCTGAAGGCTGTCACAGCCCGGATCCTGACGCTAGGCTGCCTTTGGGTGATGTCCCCTCTCCTGCCTGAGGGGACAGCCACCCTGCGGCAGCAGTGTGGGGCTGACACCCGCAGGTGCAACATGCTCCCTCGCTGCTGACATGGGACTCAGTGGGAGGAGAGGGACATAGCACTGTGACTGATCCGCCAGTGGCTCCCACCTCATCCCATGTTCTTCCTTCTCCCGCCACAGTTCTGTGCAGGCAGCTGGGAGCCCAGCGCCCTGGGCACTAAGTGATGCCCAGACAAAGCTGATACTGTGCCTGCTCCTGCCCTGTTGCAGACAGAGTCCTTGGCCAACACCAGTGTCCTGGGTTGTGCAGGGGCTCCACATGCATTCCCATCCCATTACAGTACCCTTCCCACTTACCTGGTGGTGGCGTGGCTTTGCTGTTCCCAAACTGGACGGCGATGCAGAGCTCGTGGTCAGAGGGGAACTTGCCACACTGCAGCATCTCAGGCCAGGGGAAGCCGTAGGACTCCATGACAGGGGCACAGGAGTCCCGTACCACCTCACAGAGGGAGCGGCAGGGGTAGACGGGCCGGTCAAGGCAGACGGGGGCGAAGAGGGAGCAGAGGAAGAGCTGGGTGTCGGTGTGGCACTGCTTGGCGAGCAGGGGCACCCAGCTGCCAGCCTGCTGCTTGGCTTCGGCCATGGTCTCGTGCTCCAGCAGGTTGGGCAGCCGCATGCGCTTGTAGCCCACGTCGCGGCAGAGCTGCATGTCGGGCGGGATGTCGAGGCACTGCGGCTCCCGCCCGTAGAAGCGCCCGTGGGGCAGGCTCTCGGGCTGCCACCCATAGTAGTCGTAGTGCTGCCCGCCGCCCAGGGACCCTGCCAGGGCCAGCGCCAGGGCCAGCAGCGCCGTACCCCGGCAGCCCGGGTGGCTGCCCGCCCGCGGCATCGCCGCTGCCCGCCTGCCGCTGCCGGCCGCGGCTGCCGAGCGGGACGGGAGCGTGGCTCGGCACCCTGCCTGCTCCCTTAGCACCTCCCACGCTCGCTGCCCTTTCTAAGGAGGCTGGAGACCTCGCCGGCAGCCAATCTGCTCTGCCTGCCGGGCCCCCCGGGGCTGGCCCCCGGCTCCCCCTAATCTGCCCACCCCGCTGCCGCCTCCCTCCTTCCCTCCTTCCCCGGTACATGGTGCTCCATGCCCCTCGCCCTCCCAAGGAGCCCCTCCGCGTGCACCCCCACAGCACTCCCTGGCTCTGTGTGCCCCTAGGGTGATGCTCTCTAGTAGGGCTGGCTCGCCCGTCCCATGGCGATGTGTTGTGGTCACAAGTTATCCCCGTTATTCACCAGTCCCGCTGCCCCCATCCCACCTGGCACCCCAGAGGCGTGCTGTGTCATGGGGCAGGGGACCCTGGTCCTCACCCTGTGCCACCCCACTCTTTTCTGCCAAGACAATATGCTTGGGGTGCTGGGGTTTAAGGAAGAGGACACCCTAGAAGCTTCATGCTGCAACCCTGGGAGGGCTGCTGTACCCAGGTGCTAGGTGTGCCATCAACGAGGCGATGCCATGGGCATGGGGTCCTTATTCCTCATGGATAGTTCTGCCAGCATGCACCTCGGGCAGTCCATGGTCTGCTGGCACAGGCAGAGCTGGCATTACACCTTCCAGCAGAGGGCCTTCACCCAGGCTCTGCCAGTGCTCAGGTTGTGGGCAAAGCTAGAGCCCAAGGGATGTGAGGGTCCTGCCCGGATGACATTCCCCCATTCCCTTGGAGATGGGGGGTGCAAGGCTTAAGACCCCATTAGAAACCCATTTGTCTGCAGGGGTTATCTGGGGCACCCCTCCCTTTCCCATGATCGATGCCCCTGCCTGGCCAATGGGCTTTGGGCTGCCGCTGGCCCCTGCCCACCGGATAAGGTAGCTCTGTTAATGGGCGATAGAGCAAACAGTCCAGTGCAGGCAGTGATAGCAGCTGCTCTTTGCCCTGGGCTGGGGGCAGGGACCTGGTGGGGTCCTTCTGCTTTGGGGCAGTGCTGGGAACCTCAGCTGCACAGCCTGCCCTTCCCTGTAGCCTGCTCGCCCTGCCCATGCCCTCTGTGCTCAGCAGCCACCACTGCATCACCCAGTGATGCTCACTTCCAGCCCCAGTGTGGGCTGGGTACATCCCACCCCAGCCAAGCCCCGGAGATGGCACCATTAATGTGTAACTGCCGGGGAGCCCGATAAGATACAGCAGCCTGTTATCAGGGCTGCCTGGTAGCAGGAGGGAGGGTGATCGAGGCATCAGGCTGTCACGGCAGGAGTAAGATTGTCTGGAGATAAACGCTGATAGAAAATAGCTAATCCGTGATGGATGGGCTTGGGCTGGGTGTAATTGCCATGGGAGCTGGGCTGGGAAGGGGCTGGGAGCAGAGGCAGAGGGAGGCTGGGTGTGCAGAGTGCAGCTGCCAGCGTGCCGATGCTGGGCACAGTAGCGGGTGTGCCATATCCCTGCGCTGTTCCTGTGGCACTGCCAGCACTGTCCTGCTTTTGATCACGGACCAGCTCCTGGCTTTCAGCCTGCCCCATCCCACAGCCCAGTCTAGCGTCTATAATCCCTAGTTCCTCCCAGGAAGGTGTTGGGGGTGCTGAGAACTCTGTGCCAGCTAGCACCACAGCAGATGAAGGTGAGGGGGCTGGCGAGGCTGGCGCTGAGCAAAGGTCTCTCCCTGCACGCTGCCCCAATCCCTTCACCTGTCATGATACCTTCATTAGAGCCCTGAGTCACTCCCGGCCACGCTGCGGGGAGCAGGGCTGGCCCCAGGAGAGCGGTGTCTGTCCCCTGTTCGTCCCCGGTGGGGTGTCCTGGCAGCCTTATCTCCGAGCTGAGACTGTGCCTCTGCTCTGGGGCGTCCCTGCCGCACTCGCCGTGCTTCCTTAACCCTTTCCCACCCAGGATGTCCCAGGCTGGGCTGTACCCCGGAGAAGGGGATGGACCCAAGATAGCTGTAGCCGGCACCCTTCCCTGCGTCTTGTCTGCGCAGGCCGCTCCAGTGCCCACATCCCCGTTCTGCACCCGTGCAGCTGTCCGTGAGACTGACACTTGCTCCTGTCACTCCAGAAAGCTGGCTGTGCCACCGCTTGTGTCACTGCCTGTGCCACTTGTCACGGCAGCGAGAACGGAAGCGGGGCCATGGGGGCTGCCCCCTCTGCGGTGGGGACCTCGGGCACAGGCGGCCAGGGTGGCACGGTAAGAGCACATCCCCTGCGGGTGCTCCCTCCACACTCCTGACCCTCCCTCTGGAGGACCCGTGCCTGGTTGTAGCGCAGAGCAGATCCGAGCCAGGGAAGCAGGAGACTCCCAGGAAATGAGAAGCTGAGCAGGGTCCCGGCCGCCTCCTTCCGTCCTTGTGTTCCCTCGCACCCACTCTCCTGCCGCAGCTTTGGGTGCTACCGACCTGTCAGCAGAGATGCATCGCCTGGGCCTGGGTGGGTGGCCTGAGTGGGCTCCCTCCCATCCTCCTCTTTCCCCATCCTCTCATCCTTCCTGCCCCAGTCCCATACTGATTCCTGGGCTACAGCAGTGTGGGCAGGGGCCTTTGGGAGAGGATAGCACACCGGGGTGGCATGCAGAGAGTGCCAGGAGGGGACGGCACGCTGGGACTGTCTGTGCAGGGACACGTGTCCCATGGCATCCAGCAGCTCTCCGGAGAGAGCGCCCTGGGCTGGCAGCACGGCTCCGTGCGGGTGGTCCCGCCTGGGAGTGGCCGCGGGAGGTTGGGGCATGACTGGGGACACCGTGGGGTCGAGGTTGCCCGGGGGTTATGTGGGACCATCGGGGTGGGCAGTAGGGAGGGTCAGCACTTGCCGTGCCCTTGCCCTGCGCCCACACACACTCCCGCTGCTCGGCAGACCCAGGAATGTGCTGGCAGCGCTCCCGGCCCAGCTGCGGAGCCGAGACTGCCCTGCCGCCCTCCCAGCCCCCACCCAGCACCTCCTGGCCCTGCCCAGTTCCTGCCAGCTTGCACACAGACCCTCCCTGTTCCCTGCCGGACACCCCGATCCTGGCCCCCGGCATTTGGTCCTACTCAGGAGGGCAGGGAGGGGGCATGTCGCATGTGCGGACCCTCTGAGGAGGAGTCCCTTTCCCTCACAGCACGGCACCGTGCATGGGGACCTTCTCTGCAGCGCTCTTGTCCGCCCCACCACGTCTGCTCCCACCACAGCCCCATCCGCGGTGTGGGAGCAATCCTCGCACAGTCCCTGCTCCCAGCCAGCACCTTTGCCAATGGCAGACCTTGGCACCTTGCTCTGAAACCACATCCTCCTCTGCTTGCAGAGCTAACACTCCTCTGTGTGCAGGGAGGATGCTGTGTCTCCCAACGCCTGTGGACTCCTGTGGGATGTGCTGGGGGGCTGCCCCAGTGCAATGGGGGTCCTAGAACCACCCCTTCAGATGGGCACAGCTGGACCACAGGTGCCACAGAGGGGTGTCCACACTCAGGGTGCTCAGTCTGTAGGGTCAGTTGGCCCCAGTTTGGGGCACTCTCCATGTCCTGTGTGAAGGGGCAAGCTGGGGCATTTGGAACTGTTTTCCAAAGGCTCACAGTGTGGGGGCCTCGTCCCCCTCCCTTTCCCCTCCCAGGTGCACACACCTGGGATCTCTCAGGAAAGGTTATCAGCTAATCACGCTGTTTGTGCCTCCCAAATGTCACCGTTGTCCTCACTGGGACGGTGAGCTCATGCTCCTCACCATTACTGAAAGCACTTCCAGTGCTAGGAGAAACAGCTGCCAGGCCCTTCTGTGGCCCCTTTGAAGCAGAGCTGGAGCTGCTGACAGCTCTGACAGGGTGCAGAGGGGCTCAGCAGGCAGTGGGTGCAGAATGGAGCCCCAGAGCTTGATCCCAGGCTGGTTGCAGCCTCCAGCTGTCCTCCATGGCCCCTGGTCACCCTTGTAGTGCAGGGAGGGTTGAGATGCTGGGATGAGGTGCAGCACCATGCACCCAGAGACACACTAGGGACAGCCCCTGCTCCTGGTCTGGGAGTCAAGTGCAGGGGTTGCAGCAGGGGCACTGCTGGGCCATGCTGTGGTGTGATGGGCACAGGCACATTGTCTGGTGAGGGCTGGCCATAGCGGTACCAAGTGTGCCCCATGTCTGTCCCACAGGGCCTGGGGCAGGGCCTCCAGGAGGTTAACCAGGGCCAGGGGCAAGGAGAGATCTGCAGGGTCTGTCTGCAAGAAAGGTTAGAGCTGCCTCACTCCAGGTGCAAGGGAAGAGCCAGGCAGGGGAGTAAAGGCAGCTCTGGCACCAGCCATGCGTATCCCTGCTGCTGGGCAGCCTGAAAAACCTCCCCTTTGGGCTGAGTGGATGGAGCAGAAGGGTCAGAGCCCTGCCAGGACCCCTCACAGTGCAGTGGTCTGGGGAGGGCAGCAGTGCCATTCAGCACATTGAGGCTGCCCCGAGTCCCTGCTGTCCCTGCTCCTACTGCCCGGCATTCCATTGTCTGTACCAGCCCCCTTCCACCTCTGCCCTGCCCTGCTGGAAGCCATAGCACAGCACGGCATGAGATAGCACCAGCCTGTTCCTTTTGCATGGAAACCAGCGGGGCCTGTCCCTTCTCTGGCTAAAACTGGAAAGCCCATGATGCCACACCCTGCATGGGGGAACTGGCAGACCCCAGTGGGCTCTGGAGGTGCCGGGGTCTGCAGACACTGCAGGCAGGGCTGGGTCTGTGTGGTGATGGGCAGCGCTTTGGGACAGGTCTGTGTCACACCTGCCATTGGACAAGGCTCAGTCCTGGGCAGTATGGCTGGCAGAAGGCAGCTTCCTATGGTGGGGTGATGTCCCACCAAGCAATACTCCTTGACACATGCAGACAGCAGGTCCATGGCCTATGAGGCACATGGAGCCCAGAACTGAAAGTCCTTTGCGTGGGCTGGGTTGATGTAGCTAGAGGAGACAACCCTGGGGCAACACTACAGGATGTGGGTGGCAGGGAGAGCTGATCTCCCCGGCTGCTCTCAGCCCCTCACTGCAGCATAGGAGAGCAAACTTCATCTCCTGGCAGGCACAGTATTGCCATGGCAACCGGCAGGACCTGCCAGGCCGGCAGGCGAGCACTGACGTGGCGGTGGCATGCAGCACGGGAAGGAGATGGGATGCAGGGTCTAGTTTTGGGGACATCTGAGGACAGGCTTAGGTGTGTGAGCACACTGCACGTGCACCTGGGTGTGTGCCTGGGGTGCATGGGGTGTGCAGGCAGATGTGGGCATCTGAGTGCGTGCACGAGTGCCTGTGCCAATGTGCATGCGTGTGTTTGGATGCATGGCAGACTTCACACATCATTCTGTGGCACCATCAAGGCAGGGTGTACCTCACTGCTTTGGAGGGCTGGCAGGGTTGCTGTGAACCATGGGAGCAGCAGGTTTCCCCAAAAGCTGTGGGATCCATAGCTTTGTGTCTGTGGGGAAGATGAGCTCTGCAGCTGGGGTCCCTGACTGCATGTGTCCTTTGGTCCCTTGGTCACAAACCCTGCCTCCAGAGAAAGGGGGCTTCTTACCAACCACCCTAAGGCCCTGTCTCTATTTGCTCTGCCCAAAGCCTGGGCTAGTGCTCAGAGCAGGGAGCAGGAGACTCACAGAGTCAGCCAACAGTGCTGCAGGCAGCTGGTTATGCTGTGTTAGCTGTGTGTTAGGTGTGTGTTAGGGGTGTGTTAGCTGTGTTAGGTGTGCGTTAGCTGTGTTAGGTGTGTGTTAGCTGGGTTAGGTGTGTGTTAGCTGTGTTAGGTGGGTGTTAGCTGTGTTAGGGGTGTGTTAGCTGTGTTAGGTGTGCGTTAGCTGTGTTAGGTGTGTGTTAGCTGGGTTAGGTGTGTGTTAGCTGTGTTAGGTGGGTGTTAGCTGTGTTAGGGGTGTGTTAGCTGTGTTAGGTGTGCGTTAGCTGTGTTAGGTGTGTGTTAGCTGGGTTAGGTGTGTGTTAGCTGTGTTAGGTGGGTGTTAGCTGTGTTAGGGGTGTGTTAGCTGTGTTAGGTGTGCGTTAGCTGTGTTAGGTGTGTGTTAGCTGGGTTAGGTGTGTGTTAGCTGTGTTAGGTGGGTGTTAGCTGTGTTAGGGGTGTGTTAGCTGTGTTAGGTGTGCGTTAGCTGTGTTAGGTGTGTGTTAGCTGGGTTAGGTGTGTGTTAGCTGTGTTAGGTGGGTGTTAGCTGTGTTAGGGGTGTGTTAGCTGTGTTAGGTGTGCGTTAGCTGTGTTAGGTGTGTGTTAGCTGGGTTAGGTGTGTGTTAGCTGTGTTAGGTGGGTGTTAGCTGTGTTAGGGGTGTGTTAGCTGTGTTAGGTGTGCGTTAGCTGTGTTAGGTGTGTGTTAGCTGGGTTAGGTGTGTGTTAGCTGTGTTAGGTGGGTGTTAGCTGTGTTAGGGGTGTGTTAGCTGTGTTAGGTGTGCGTTAGCTGTGTTAGGTGTGTGTTAGCTGGGTTAGGTGTGTGTTAGCTGTGTTAGGTGGGTGTTAGCTGTGTTAGGGGTGTGTTAGCTGTGTTAGGTGTGCGTTAGCTGTGTTAGGTGTGTGTTAGCTGGGTTAGGTGTGTGTTAGCTGTGTTAGGTGGGTGTTAGCTGTGTTAGGGGTGTGTTAGCTGTGTTAGGTGTGCGTTAGCTGTGTTAGGTGTGTGTTAGCTGGGTTAGGTGTGTGTTAGCTGTGTTAGGTGGGTGTTAGCTGTGTTAGGGGTGTGTTAGCTGTGTTAGGTGTGCGTTAGCTGTGTTAGGTGTGTGTTAGCTGGGTTAGGTGTGTGTTAGCTGTGTTAGGTGGGTGTTAGCTGTGTTAGGGGTGTGTTAGCTGTGTTAGGTGTGCGTTAGCTGTGTTAGGTGTGTGTTAGCTGGGTTAGGTGTGTGTTAGCTGTGTTAGGTGGGTGTTAGCTGTGTTAGGGGTGTGTTAGCTGTGTTAGGTGTGCGTTAGCTGTGTTAGGTGTGTGTTAGCTGGGTTAGGTGTGTGTTAGCTGTGTTAGGTGGGTGTTAGCTGTGTTAGGGGTGTGTTAGCTGTGTTAGGTGTGCGTTAGCTGTGTTAGGTGTGTGTTAGCTGGGTTAGGTGTGTGTTAGCTGTGTTAGGTGGGTGTTAGCTGTGTTAGGGGTGTGTTAGCTGTGTTAGGTGTGCGTTAGCTGTGTTAGGTGTGTGTTAGCTGGGTTAGGTGTGTGTTAGCTGTGTTAGGTGGGTGTTAGCTGTGTTAGGGGTGTGTTAGCTGTGTTAGGTGTGCGTTAGCTGTGTTAGGTGTGTGTTAGCTGGGTTAGGTGTGTGTTAGCTGTGTTAGGTGGGTGTTAGCTGTGTTAGGGGTGTGTTAGCTGTGTTAGGTGTGCGTTAGCTGTGTTAGGTGTGTGTTAGCTGGGTTAGGTGTGTGTTAGCTGTGTTAGGTGGGTGTTAGCTGTGTTAGGGGTGTGTTAGCTGTGTTAGGTGTGCGTTAGCTGTGTTAGGTGTGTGTTAGCTGGGTTAGGTGTGTGTTAGCTGTGTTAGGTGGGTGTTAGCTGTGTTAGGGGTGTGTTAGCTGTGTTAGGTGTGCGTTAGCTGTGTTAGGTGTGTGTTAGCTGGGTTAGGTGTGTGTTAGCTGTGTTAGGTGGGTGTTAGCTGTGTTAGGGGTGTGTTAGCTGTGTTAGGTGTGCGTTAGCTGTGTTAGGTGTGTGTTAGCTGGGTTAGGTGTGTGTTAGCTGTGTTAGGTGGGTGTTAGCTGTGTTAGGGGTGTGTTAGCTGTGTTAGGTGTGCGTTAGCTGTGTTAGGTGTGTGTTAGCTGGGTTAGGTGTGTGTTAGCTGTGTTAGGTGGGTGTTAGCTGTGTTAGGGGTGTGTTAGCTGTGTTAGGTGTGCGTTAGCTGTGTTAGGTGTGTGTTAGCTGGGTTAGGTGTGTGTTAGCTGTGTTAGGTGGGTGTTAGCTGTGTTAGGGGTGTGTTAGCTGTGTTAGGTGTGCGTTAGCTGTGTTAGGTGTGTGTTAGCTGGGTTAGGTGTGTGTTAGCTGTGTTAGGTGGGTGTTAGCTGTGTTAGGGGTGTGTTAGCTGTGTTAGGTGTGCGTTAGCTGTGTTAGGTGTGTGTTAGCTGGGTTAGGTGTGTGTTAGCTGTGTTAGGTGGGTGTTAGCTGTGTTAGGGGTGTGTTAGCTGTGTTAGGTGTGCGTTAGCTGTGTTAGGTGTGTGTTAGCTGGGTTAGGTGTGTGTTAGCTGTGTTAGGTGGGTGTTAGCTGTGTTAGGGGTGTGTTAGCTGTGTTAGGTGTGCGTTAGCTGTGTTAGGTGTGTGTTAGCTGGGTTAGGTGTGTGTTAGCTGTGTTAGGTGGGTGTTAGCTGTGTTAGGGGTGTGTTAGCTGTGTTAGGTGTGCGTTAGCTGTGTTAGGTGTGTGTTAGCTGGGTTAGGTGTGTGTTAGCTGTGTTAGGTGGGTGTTAGCTGTGTTAGGGGTGTGTTAGCTGTGTTAGGTGTGCGTTAGCTGTGTTAGGTGTGTGTTAGCTGGGTTAGGTGTGTGTTAGCTGTGTTAGGTGGGTGTTAGCTGTGTTAGGGGTGTGTTAGCTGTGTTAGGTGTGCGTTAGCTGTGTTAGGTGTGTGTTAGCTGGGTTAGGTGTGTGTTAGCTGTGTTAGGTGGGTGTTAGCTGTGTTAGGGGTGTGTTAGCTGTGTTAGGTGTGCGTTAGCTGTGTGTTAGGTGTGTGTTAGGAGTGTGTTAGCTGTGTGTTAGCTGTGGGTTAGCTGTGTGTTAGCTGTGTTAGCTGTGTGTTAGCTGTGTTCGCTTCCAGAGCAGATGTTCCGGCAGGGCCCCGCACTGTCTCCAGCACGGCCCAGGTGCTGAGGGAAGGGCTGGCTGTTCTCCTGCCTGCTCGGGGCTCTGTGCCCAGCTACGGCATCCCTTGCCCCGCTACAGCCCCAGCTGGGAGCCCCCCTTCTTCGCCTCTCGGGAGAGCCTCTGTTCCCCCCCCCCGTTTGGCATTTCTCCGGCTCTAATTGAGCTGTCAATGGGCAGAGATAACAGGGAATTCGTTAGCTCCGCTCTTTGATGTCTGCCCGCGCTCCCATCGCAGCACCAGCTGCAACTCCTTCGCAAACAAACAGCTTCAGATGAGGCCCCTTGGCACGGCCGTCTGCCAGTCCCACGGTCGACTCCCCAAATCCCTGCCGGGCCAGCCTCACGGCCGCTCAGACCGTCTGCTACCTCGGCAGCCAGGTTTCCCCGCCAGGGAGCTACAGCCGCATCCCAAAGATCTCCGGGTCCGGCAGTCGCCGTGCCCGACCGCCGGGACGCACAGCAGCAGTCTTCCCTCGCAGCCCCTCTCCGGGGCCGGCCCGGGCTGCCGGTGCCGCCGTCCGCAGCAACGCGGCCGCGTCCTGCGGGCGCTCCGTGCCGGCGGCGGCAGGCGCCCATCCGCGGTGCCTCGGGGCGGGCCGCGGCGGACCGGGCGGCTGCGCACACGGGGCGGCCGGGCCCGCCTCCGCCTCTCGGCTCGGCAGCACCGCGGACAGCGCCCGGCCCCGCACGGCCCGGGAGACGGCGCCGCTCCGCTCCGCTGTCCCCGGCACGGCACAGCCCGGCCCGGCGCCCGCCGCGCCATGGCCACGGAGGTGGGTGCGCGGCGGGGACACCCCGGCACGGCACCCCCGGGCCGGGCTGCGGCGGAGCTCCCCCGCCCTGCGCTGCCCGCCGCCGGGGCGCGGCACGGACCGGGGTCCGTCAGCGTGGGGTGCGCTGCTGCGGGAGGACAGCGCGGGGCCGGGGTCCGCGGGGAGGAGAGGAGTGTGGGGCTGGGGGCTGCGAGGGCTCCGTGGGCACAGAAAGGCCGGTGAGGTTACTGAAGGGGTGTGGGGGTGCAGGGGGGCTGCAGGGTGCCTTTGGTGAAGGCTGCGGCGTGTCTGGGTTGGGCTGTGGGACTAGGAATTCTTCTCCCACAAACGGTGGGTCAGACGTGGGACAGCGTCAGACAGTCTGTGGGGCAGAGAGCAGTCAGTTGCCCTCTGCCACCCTGGGGAAGCTCAGGGAAAGGCCTGATGTCTGCCCTTGCACAATCTGGTGCCTCCATCCCCTTCTCCAGCCGCCAAAGCTGCCCCACAGCTTGGCGCTCGGGGGCTGGCACGGGCTCTCACGCCCGGTGGGGAGTCAGGGCTTAGCACCTGCTGCCGGGCCTGCCGGTCCTGTTCATGAAGACGCCCCACTGCAGCCTGCCCACCCGCTGTGCCTCTGCTGCAGCCCCGCTGCCCATCCCTGCTCCTGCTCGGCTCACTCCCAGCCTCCCGTCGGGAGCTGTTGGGTTGGCTGTGTTCTGGAGCACTGCTGGGGACAGGGGCCTGTCACCTCCGGAGACACACACCCGTGCACGCAGGAACCACTGGGGATGAGACCAGACACCACCCCGGGGCGAGAGCACACGCACTCACCCTCATTCCGAGGAGGGGCCTGCCACAGCATCCTCCCCTTGCTGCCATCCTCCCCTCGCCCCCCGCCTCGCATCTCCAGCGCCAAGCTGTGCTCATGGTGTGACACAGCCTGTGCTAGGGTCTCCCTGCCCCGGGCTGTGTCAGCCTGCAGCCCCTGACACTGTGGGAATGGCGCTGCTCCCCAGACCTCCAGCCCTGCAGTAGGGATGTCCAGCACCCCTGGCTGCAGCCCCCCCGTGTCACACTCTGCCCCCAGGTGCACAGCCTGCAGGAGCTGCGGCGCAGCGCGTCCCTGGCCACCAAGGTCTTTGTGCAGCGGGATTACAGTGATGGGACCACATGCCAGTTCCAGACAAAGTTTCCCCCTGAGCTGGAGAGCCGGGTAGGGAGTCTGAGAGGTTGCCAGGGTGGGTGGTGCCCTATGGCAGTGCCCTGTGGGGGCTCAGAGGGATGAGAGGTCTAAAGGTGTGGGGGTTTATGGGGTGTTGTACGGCCCTGGGCCAGCCAGTGCTGTTGGGTGCATGAAATCACCGCTGCCTTAGCTGGTGTGCAAGGGCTTTGATGCTCCTGGGGCCTGGGAGGCTCTGGTGAAGGCTGCAGGCTCAGCAGGTTACGAGTGGGAGGTGGGCAGGGGCCTGCAAGTTGGGGCATCAGCTGGGCAGGGAGGAGAGGGTTCAGTGCTCTCCAAGTGCCCCCAGGAATGGGGACAAGGTGGCAAAAGGAGTCAGTCCCTGGCCAGACGCCTCTTCACCCTGGTTTCTGTCCTAGATTGAGCGACAACTTTTTGAGGAAACCGTGAAAACCTTAAATGGCTTCTACGCCGAGGCGGAGAAGATTGGGGGCAGCTCATACCTCGAGGGATGCCTGGCCTGTGCCACTGCCTATTTCATCTTTCTCTGCATGGAGACACATTATGAGAAGGTGCTGAGGTGCAGGGGTGGGCTCAGGCTTTGGGCACAGCTTGCAGTGGGCACGGGGATGGCTCAGGGGTGTCATAGGGAACATGGGACTGGAGGCCAGAGTAGACAACAATGCTGGCAGGCCCTGAGTGTCCCTCTCTGTGCTGACAGGTCCTGAAGAAGATCTCCAAGTACATCCAGGACCAGAATGAGAAGATCTATGCGCCACGGGGGCTGCTGCTCACTGACCCCCTGGAGCGTGGCATGAGGGTCGTATCCTTTGGGCAGCAGGGTGCTTGGGGGATGGCAAGGGTGAAGGGAGACTGGGCGTGGGTGCTGGGCAATTGGGCTGGCCCGTCTCACCGATGATCCTTAGCAGGGCCCAGATCGAGATCTCCATCTACGAGGACCGGTGCAGCAGTGGCAGCTCCAGCAGCGGCAGCTCCAGCAGTAGCAGCGGTGGTGGCGGCGGGGCGGGGGGCCGGTGACTGGCAGGGAGTCCCTGCAGGGACTCATACTGCCGGGACAGTGGCCTCTCCGAGCTCCGCAGGCTGCACTACCAGAGCACACGCTTCTGAGCCCAGGGAGAGCAGGAGGGGGAGGCCAGGGGTACCCAGTGAGGCTGCCCACCCCCATCTGCTCTTTGTCCCCCGCAGTGGGCCTGCCCCTGCTTGGACCCGCTGTGGGTAGGGACTGGTGCTGGGGCATCCCAGGTGCTTCCCATGAGCCGAACTTGCCAAGGGGCTCCTCCAGCCCTCCGTGCGTGCTTGGTGCTGCCGCCCCTGCCGCAAGCGAAAGGAGCTTGTCCTGCTCGGGCAGTCCCAGCTGGCAGTGCCCCTGTCCCCAGGCACCGGGGAGCTCTGGGAGTGGCAAAACCTCAGGCAGCGCTAAGCAGGGGACGCACACTTCACCCCACGCCCACAGACACTGACAGCTCTTGCTGCACCCCCTGCTTAGGGCATCCTGCTCTTGGTGCTGTGGTGTGGGCTCAGCTGCTGCTTGCCACCATTCAGGGGGCCTGGCAGAGCACTGGTGCTGCTTCTACTGCATGATGGGCCATGCATTCACCCCAGCTCTGCCCCATTGCTGCTCCCCTGGTCCCCTCCCCCCTCTGGCACTACATCCTCTCCAGCAGCATCCTTCACTGCCATGACACTGGGCACTTGCTTCTGCTCCCTGCATGACCTGCTGCCATCCCCAGCTGGACCCAGGTATTTCTCCAGCCCAGTGTCCAGGGCAGGGAGGTGCCGTGCTGAGCACGATGCTGCCCCTGTGCCATGTGCCCTGGGCTCATTCATGGCCCAGCACAGTTGAAGCTGAGCTGTGGCATGGGTGAGGCAGGCTCCCTGCCCAGTCCTGGCACAGTTTGTCTGTACCTTGCTGCCAGCAGCCCCCTGCCTACTCTGCCCCATGACCTGCCCTAATGCAGGGAGGGTGCCCAGTGGAGAAGCTCCATGAGGACCTTTCCTCTCACACTGCTGAGTCCTCCCCTGCCCATATGTCCTGCATGCATCTGCCACCAGTGCCCCATTTCTCAGCTTGGCTTGTAAGAGGGGACCTCAAGGAGCACCTGGGCCTGGTGGCAAGGTGTGGAGGTTCATGGTCCAGAGTCAGATAGGGGGAAACAGGAGGGTCCCTGTGATATCCAGCACCCCAAGGAGAAGAATTCCTATCTGGGTGTAGGGCTGAACCGAGCTGGCATTTCTTTCCTGGTGACCTGGAGGGAGGACTCTGCCCTGTGGGACTCCTTTTGGCTCCGTCATGATGTGTGTGTGGGGTGGCCCTGGCCTCAATGTTCCTGCTGGAGCCCCCCCCTGCATGGAGACCTCCCTCAATAAACCTCATGCTTCTTCCCCCACTGCCTACCCTGCATCGTCTTGTGTTGGAGTGGTGAGCGAGGCTGTGGGGACACAGAATCAGGCTGGGTATCTCTTTTCACACTGCACAGAGCCCCACGAGGGTGAGCATGGGGAAAGGGAGGGGATGGGGAGGAGGGGGCAGTCTAGGGAAGTAGGGACAGACCTGTGCAGCAGTCATGGGGCCCTGGGACAGGGACACACAAGGAATACAGTGCAGGAAAGGGTTTATTCAGTTGGTACTGGGTGCAGCTGGCACAGTGCTGGGGGGTAGCAGGGAACACCTAGCTGTGCCAGAGCAGGCTAATTGTGCTGGCAGCGTCCACCAGCACCCAGGGAAAAGCCGTGGTGACAGTGGCAGTGGAAGGAGCCATGGCTGTTGTGGCAGATATGGTCGCAGGGGCCAGGCTGTGCCTGACACTCATCTATGTCTGAGAAAGAAGGAGAAAAGGTCAGAGCTGTGCCAAGGATACAGGGTGCGTCTGGCATGGGCAGGGCAAGGGATGGAGGGGGCATGAGGGTGGCAGCTCCAGGGTTGGGTGAATTGGGACACAAAGGCAGGTGCTCCTGCCGCTGCTTGGTGCCAAGGCTGCTGGGTGGCAGATGTCCTTATGCCACCAACTCCTGCACAGCCACAGTCTGTCCCTTCTGCCCCCCAGCACTAGGGCTGTGAGCACAACTGAGCATCCCAATCATCTCTGCTGCCAGGGCAGCCTGGCAGCACCAGGTGGCTGGGCACTGCAAGTACTCACCCAGGCACTGGCTGGCAGCCAGATCAAGGGGACGGAAGCCTGGGTGGCAGAGGCAGGTGTGTGCCCCAGGGGTGTTGATGCAGAGCTGGCTGCAGTTGTGCAAGCCCTGAGCACACTCGTTGATGTCTGGTGGGGGTAAAGAGAGCAGCGTGGGGTTATAGCATTCAGGGGGAAAAGCAGTACAGCCCTGTTGCTGGGGTGCAGGCAGTGCAGCTTGCTGTACCCCAGCCCCTTCAGAGCTGCACATTTTGCTGTAGCCCCAGTGCAGAGCTGGGCCAGGGGCACCATCACCCTGCAGCCAGATCCCAGCCCTGGGGAGGGAATTGCTGGGGATGCTCCCCTCCTGGGCTCCCTCCCTGTGCAGCCCCAGGGTGGGGTGGGCAGAAGCACAAGCACAGCCCTGGCACGCAGAGCTCAGCAGACCAGGTTAATAGATGGGATATAGTTTATTAGGGGTTCTCTGGGAGAGGGGCTGGAAGACTGTTGGGACTAAGCAGGGTCAGACTCCAAACAGTAGGGTCAATATGTTAAAAAACAGACCAGGAGGATCCTGCCCCTGCAGGGCTGGGAAGACCCTCCTCTGCCAGGGCTGGGGAGGTGGTTCCCGTCACCGAGGAGAGGGCAGGCAAAGCACACACGTCGCAGGCCAAACCAGCAGGCACACGGTACGGTATCGAGGCGACGGAGCAAGCGACCACCAGGGAGGTGCCAGCATGGCAGGAATAGCACTGGGGCAGTGGGGTGTGCGGGGGAAGGGGCACTGCCAGGCTGCCCCAGGGCTGCTTTCCCAGAGATGGTGCACAGGACAGCCAGGTCTGTGCCGGTCCCACTGCAGATCAGCCCAGTATGTCCCAGCCGGCACTTCCAGGGTGGCTCAACGTGGACAGAAAAAGAGAGACAGGCAGAGGCCAGCCCATCCTTCCACCAAGGCTGCTCCGGCATGTTACGGGCAGGGGTTAAAGTGCATAGAGACAAAGGCAGAGTCCGAGGACTAGAGGGAGTAGGGCACTGTGGGGGAGCCCAGGCCAGCTCCCAGCAGAGGGATATCCCCCAAAAAAGGCCACTTGAGCTGCACAGTGAAGGAGAGAAGGAACAAGAGAGAAAAAGAGAAAGAGAAGGGCTGTCAGTGGCAGCTCAGTGGGAGGCACAGAAAAACACACACGGAATCAGGGTGGATTTGGCTGGGCTGCCATCCGACAGGTTGCAGGCTGTGGCCTGGCCTTTGCCAGGGGTGTAACAGCATGCCAAGGTGGTGTTTTGACACTGATGCCAGCTGTCATGGGGTCAGGGTGTCCCAGCAATCACTCACCCACGCAAGCTGTGCCATCCTCGTTTGGCTCAAAGCCCCGGCTGCAGCGCTTGTTGCTGCGACAGCGGTACCCGCCATAGGTGTTGATGCAGATGGGCTTGTCCCGGGGACAGATGAAGGGGAACTCAGTGCACTCATTTGTGTCTACAAGACGGTCCTTAGTGTGAGACATGTGGGCAGAGAGCTTGGGGCTGCCCGCCCCTCCAGCCCCCCAGCGGTATGCCGGATGGTCACCCTGGTGGTAGCCATGCATAAGCCATACCTCTGCCCAGGAGGCTCACAGCATGGCCACAGCTTCCCTGCTGCATCTCTGCTCCCCCTCCATCACTCATGGCTACAGCACAAAGCCTGCCACGTGCCAGCCATGCCTCCTGCCCCAGCACAGTGCTCTCACTGCTCCCTGTGACACCACCGTGCTCCCCTGGAGATGTACTGCTGTCCCATTCCCAGGCCATGTGCCAGGCAAGCAGCTGAACCTGGCACTGCGCCATGTGGCAGGCAGCCACCTCCCAGTCTCAGAGTGTCCCCCATGGGGCTATGCTACAGCATCCTGGGTACAGGCACACCTGTGCTTCCAGCAGCCACTCACCTACACAGCGTCCATTCTCGTGCTGGGAGAATCCCTGCCCGCACTGCATTTGGGAAGAAGCAGAGACTGCTGGGATGGGGAAGGATCAGCCCCGGGCAGCCACTGAGCCAGCAGAGCCCAGCCCCTTGTTTCTGTCCCCAAAGTCTCACACCCACACCTGGCCCTCACCTCCAGTGGGGCAGGCATGAGCGGCTCCTCCACATCCAGAGGGTAGGGGATCTCCAGGACAGAGTTGGTCTCGCTGCTTGCCACAGCTCGTGACACCACGCGGCCATCTGGCCAGGTCACCTCCAGGCTGCTGGCTTCGTCATGCCCTGCAGGCGGGCAGCCCATCAAAGGGAGGGTCTCCAGGGTGGGCAGGGGCTGAAAGGAGGCCATCGGGGTGGTAGGGATGGGAGGGGCAAAGTCTTCCCTTGCTCCCTGAGCCCAGCTCCAGGTGCTCACGGACAGCCCGTGCACACAGATGTACTCTGAGGGGCATACGTGGGGACAATGGGATGACCTTGAAGTAGGCAGGGACACCCCTGCAGGCTTGGCTGCTGGACATGCCACACCAGGGGACAGTTAAAGGGAAGAGAAAGCCCCACCCCCTGGGCAAAGCAGCAGGCAGGGGATGGGGAAGGGGGCAGCTGCCCCTTGCAGCACAGCTGCAGTGGCTGGGCACCCTGCCCACAGCCTCGCACGGAGCCCACCATACCTAGGTGACAGGCATGGACGATTACTGTGCTGCAGGACACCGGGGCAGCAGACATGGTCCCTGCCCTGGGCAGTGCCAGGGAAGGCTGGGGGTGGAGGCAGCCCCTCGACCCCCTAGCTCACCCAGTCCGAAGTGTGCCACAGGCTCCATCTCGCAGAGATAGCCGGAGCCCCCGTCAATGATGCGCAGGTGGGCCTCGCTGCGCCGGGTGAACAGCACCACTTTGGCCCCCCGCGCAAAGGCCCCGAAGCGGGTACGGGGGATGACACGCAGCCAGTTGTTGCTGGTGCCCTGCAAAGGAGGAGGGAGCAGAGAGACTGAGCTGGGAGGGACAGGAGGGATGGGTACAACATGAGGAGTCCCTGCTTGACTCACCTGAGTGCCCTTGAAGATGGAGATTGGCTGTGCCATGGACTCACCATGGGATAGGATGAGGTCCAGCATCCCATCGCCATCAAAATCTGTCACTGCACCTCCTACAAGGACAGAATCATGTTGTGCCTGAGGCCTGGCCCCATGTCTCCCAGCACTAGACCTTGCTGCTGCTGTGGCCTTCCACTGGCAACGGCAGTGCTCCTGGCCACACAGGGACAAAAGGGAAGATGGGGTGACTCCAGTGCAGGAGTGTGGTTGGCATCCTGTATTCAGGTGTGTCGGCACCCTGGGCAGTGGAAGGGACAGGCAGTGCCTGGAGAACTGTGGGTCACAGGGAGCTGCCTGACCTCCTCCCAGATGCAGAGGGGTTGGCTTCGAGCAGTGGACACGCAAGAAGGGGCCCTTCAAGAGTGCCTCTGGGGTACTGGAAATGGCACTGTTGGCTGGACATGGGTGGAGGGAGAAAACATGGGGCCATTCCTGGTGGTGGGGAGTAGGCAGATAACTCAGTCAGGCATGTGGCATCCTCAGGCACAGAAGGTCAAGCAGTGCTGTGCCAGGGCAGGGTGGACCCACCTGTGCCCCGTCCCTCGGGCTCCAGTGCATCCCCTGGATTCAGCTCTTCTACAATGGGGTCTGAGTGTTCTCTGCGGATGAGCCTGCCAAGGACACATACACAGCATTAATGCCAGCTCCTGCAGTCCTTAGAACCTTCCTGCATATGTCTGTCCCCTCCTGCAGAATCATGGTAGGGGTGAGAGCTCTCGTGCTATAGGGTGTGGATGGGGGATGTGACTGTCCCCTGCATGTTGGCACGACTTCACTCCATGTAGGTGCAAAAGAAATTTCATGAGAGCTTCTGGGTCTGAACTGCAGAGTACCAATACCATCTGTTTTATCCCTCTGGAACCTGGAGATGTCTCCAAAGGGCTCCTTGCAAAACCCTTGCCCTCTACCCACCTACGGGTGCAAGCATTGAGTAGACAACCAGTACCCACTGCCCTACACACCAGGCAAGGAGATGCTACACAGAAGTAATGAAGAATTCACCCCCACAATTAACAGGAGCCAAGAACAAGCTTCCACAAAGCTACTAATCAGCGGTGCTGGGGACCCCAGGGGCTGCTGCAGGCACGATCACAGTGACTGGTAATGATGCCAGGAAGGGCTCAGTCACGATGCCTCTTATGAGCTGAGCCCGAGCCGTGGCACTGCTGGAGAGGAGCCCTGTGAGCCTGGCTGTGCTGTGAGGGCCGCTGGAGTCGCAGAGCAGGGTGCAGGCTCCCCGGCCCCCGTGGGGCTCCTACCTGAAGAGGCGGTTGGCGGAGGAGCCGCGGTAAGCGATGTTGTTGAAGAAAACCTCCAGCTCCTGGTCATTGTCGAAGTCGGCTGCGATGACGGTGCGGACGGGGGACGGCATGGAGAACTTGGGGGTGGCGATGTCCTGCATGGGCACAGCCTGACAATAGGCACAGGAAGCAGGACACTGGGTGCTGCTTTGGTGCCTCGGGTCCTCTCCTCGCTGGCAAGTGGGGCTCAAAGACAATTCAGAGCGAAGCCAGCGCCCCAGGCTGAGGTGGCTCAATGGCAGAGGCAGCAGCGTGGGGACTCCCAGCCCTCACCCGGAATCGGACACGCCCAGGAGCTCCACTCTGCAGGTAGAGGCGGTGCGGCCCGTTCCAGTTGCCATAGACGATGTCCACCCGGCCGTCGCGGTTGAAGTCAGCCAGCGCCACACCGCGTCCGTGCTGGTAGGGGTCATCCAGCCCTGGGGAACCGCAAGGGGACAGGGGGAGACGGGAACCCCCTCCTGCCTCCTTGTCCCCAGCACACCTCCGAGGATGTGCTCCATCGTCCCCAGACAGCTCCTCCAAGCGCAGCTCCACGTGCGCTGATGGATGCCCCGATGCTTCTCAGCCACTGCACAGTGGTCAATGGGGGCTCTGGGTCCCTAGGGCTGTCCCCTGCCCCCCACACTCATCCAGTGCGGGAAGGGACAGGCAGAGCCACCCCTGCCCCGAGGTCCCCAGCATCTGTGTGGTCCCCCCAGCTTCCCCTACTCACCCACAGCAGCTGCCACGTCCCTGTACGTCCCGTCCCCCCGGTTGTGGAAAAGGAAGTTTGGGCTGTTCTCATTACCGCAGAATATGTCGGAGGCACTGTCACTCAGGATGGGGCCCACGGCCACCCCACGCCCCCCTGGGGACAGTAGCCCCGGGTGAGGGACAGCTGCCCCACCGGAGTTAGTGCTCCCCATGTTCCCTCAGTGTTGCCCACACGGTGCTCTCAAGTACCCCCCCTCATTCCCCGTGTCCCATTCTTACCACCTCCTACCCCTCTCATCAGGAGCTAATTGGGCCTGGCAGCCGCTTGTGCCACTCCCAACCCTAATCACTGCCATCGCCATGGTGACAACACTCCTAATTAGTGACAATTTACCGCTGGGGCACGCAGCAGTCCCCACGGTGGTGGGCCAGCATGCGGCGCAGGCGGGCTTGTTCCCCCCGAACGCCCACGTTCCCAAACCCCGCTGCCTGCCCTATGGATGCTGTGAGCTCTGAGGGAATTAGCCCCAGTGATGGTGGACACAGGGGTCCTGCCAGGCGTGCGTCCCATGCTCCTGGTCCCTTCCAAGGGCCGTGGGGCTGCCACTAGATGGGGCAGTGAGGCAGCCCAACGCGTGGCACGGACCTCCGGCTGCACTGCCCCGCCACATCGGGCTCGCCATGCCCTGCCGCGAGTCCCCTCCGCAGGGCCACAGAAGCCGGGTGTACCTGTGTACTTGCTGACGCCAGCCTGGGCGGCCACATCCACCAGCACCACGACACCGCGGGCAGGGTCACTGGCAGCCACATCCATCTCAATCAGGGCATGGGGGCCCACGTTGCCGCTGGCATAGTTGGCGACGTAGATGGAGTACCTGCCGGAGCCCTGCAGCCGGCAGCACCGCCTCAGCACCCACCCACCCACAACTCATCGCCACGGGGACCACAGAGGATGCCTGCTGTGAATGCTCTTATTGCTCCGTGGGAGCAAGCATTGCTTTTGTGTGCTGAGCAAGAGTTCTGCAAAACCCACGGCAAAAAGCATTCCAGGGTAGGGATGCGACCTGTTGCCTCCAGGGGCTCTCTGGTCATGTGGCACGTTATCCCCCCTCCCAGCATCCCCGGTGTGCCAAGTCCTCCCGATTTCCACCGCCTCCTTTGTCCCGTGCAGTAGCTGCACCCTGATTTAGCGATAATCATTTGGAAATAAACCGCTGGAGGAGGAGGACGAAGAAAGAGCAGGTGACAGGAACATAAATCACCTCGACAGGCACGTTTATCAGCTGGTGGCAACCGTGTGGACAGGCATCCACAGTCCCTACAGCTAGGGGCGTTGGCAGTCACTGGGCAGATGGGGGGCACCCTTGGCCCAAGCAGGGGACGGGATGGGACAGTAAAGGGAGCTGGCCCTCAGGATTCCACTGAGGGGCACTGGGAGTGGAAAGTGGGGCAGAGATGCCCTTGTCTGCAGAACCCTGCCTGCTCACCGTCCGGTCCACGCAGGCAACAGAACGCCCAGCAAAGCGGCTGGCCACGTCCCGGTTCACCTCGTCACTCAGGATGTCCTCCCAGCGCCCATTGCGGAGCTTGAAGAGCTTGTCTGTGTAGGTGGCCATGCCTGGGGAAGGGGGCGCAGGTCAGTGGGCTTCAGCACCCTGCCTCCTCTTGAGGACGGGGTGCTTTGCAGCAAGGGACGTTGTGGAAAATGTACTCTTCTTCCAGAGCATCCCAAATATCTGCTGTCCCTGCAGCCCCCTAGTGCCATAGGGCTGGGCTGCTGCAAGAGCCCCATGACCCTTAAGGGCCACTGGGAGACACACAGAAGAATCAACTCATTAAACTAAAATATGTCCCAATGGGGCACAGTCCTGTAGATCATCCCCAGGAAGGTACAAAAAAAAATATATTAAAAAAGAAATCGATCCAGTGGCAGGCACAGTCAGCGAGCTACACCGCTTGTGACAGCGCCAATGGCAGAGCCTGATTTAGGGACAGGTGTGCCAGCAGCCACTGCCAGCCCAGGTAATTAGAAGCACTGGGAAGACAGATCTGCTGCCTGGAGGTCAGGGACACACGGCAGAGCTGGGCTGGAGCACCAAGCCAGGGCGCTCTAGGGATTCCCAGTGCCACCTTGGAGAATGTAAGTCTTGTTCCCGTGACAGGCATGCCAGGAGCAGGGACAGCACTAGAAGGGCAGGATAAGACTTGACTTGGTGCAGCAGGCACAGGAAAGCCATGAGACCAAAGGGCACAACTGCTGCAGGGCACAGCTGGGATTTACAGTGCAGGGTCCCTGGGGCAGGACAATCGAGGGGGTGGAAGGGAATCTTCCGTCCCACTTGGGGTGCCACGAAAAGGGCGATGGGCAGCTGGAAGTGCTGACTCGGCTGGCTGGGCTCAGTGTCCCACCTGTGCTGCCATCAATCAATGGAGCCACTCAACTGAGAAATTAACTCCAGCCCGCACACATCCCTCACACGCCGAAGGTCGCGGGCAGCCATGCCGGGGGCTCCCCCCGTGCCTGGGGCTCGGCTGCCGGCAAGGCTCACCAGAGAAGGCGTTGTTGGTGTTTAGGAAGTAGATCTCCTCGCGGCCATCGCCGTCGATGTCGCAGGCTGTCACACCGATGGCGTTGCCCTGCCGGTCCCGCAGTGCGTAGTACGGGGAGCCCCGCTCATCCTCTGCCACGTTCACCAGCCGCCCCTGTGCCTTGTCATACTTGAGCACTAGGTTGGGGCCATTGTACCTGCGAGTGTAAGCAGGGGTAGTGGCTTCCCAAGGCTTGGTGATGGGATAAAAACCCCTCTGTCTCATCCCTGGGGGGACTTTGGGTGTGATACTGGATTTTCCCAATGATGGGCACTGCAGAGTCCATGGAGGCCAAGGACCCTGTCAGGCATCCCGTGTCTGACAACACTAGGGAAGCAGTGGGGGCCAGGCAGAGAGCAATACAGGATGGGGTGCAGGTCCCTGCTTGCAGAGCTTTCCCAGGGCAAGGAAATCAGCATACAAGGCAAATCCTCTCAGTGCGTCCCACTGGCTCCTCGCCCGCTCCTGCCCAACGCACCAGTAAACAAGTTATACAACGGGCACCATGACTGCTTACAAAACCCCAGCTGCCTTCTTGACTCAGCACAGCTGGGAGTGGTGGCCCAGACCCCTCCAGGGTTCCCAGTGCCACCCATGTTTTCCTGCCTCGGTGATGTTCAGAGCAGCAGCAGGGCCAGACTGCTGGCCAACGTAGGGCCCCCATCCAGCTAGACGGGATCTGTGAGGGTAAAGAACACTCTCCAGGTGGGCACACCTGTGTGTGCAAGCCTCTTTAGGGAGTCAGGATGTGTGTACACAGATACCCTGCAGTAGCAGCTCACAGCAGTGCCAGCACACACACAGAGCCTACACCATGGTCCCTGCTCTTCCTGACCAGGGTTGGACCTGCTGGCAGCAGCTGCTCTGTGTCCAGCCCTGCTTGGGCACTGGCAGCACAGCACACAGCTCCCTCCTTCCCCGGGCTCCTGCCAGCCCTTCCCAGCCGTCACTCCAATAAAGGACTATAAAAAACCTCCAGCCAATTAACTGAATCTCCAGAGAGAGCTGAGTCCTGTCAGCGGAGCTGAGACGGCTTGGGGACACGCTGGCTGTGCACTGCAGGGTGGACCCTGGCTGCTGGGCAGCCACCACCACCCCACAGAGAAGAGACCAATGGGGGCACTCAAATGGTCACACAGGCACTCAGCTGGCATCAACACCCTGTGTGGGTGCACACATACACACGCACACATTCACTGGTGGGTGCATGCAGACCCCAACCCACCCACCTTTGTGCACAATCCTCCCAGGAGGCAGGAATTCCTAACCCTGCAGGGCCACAAGTCCTGCTGTCACTGAGGCATTAGGTGCACCACTCACCCTGCCACCACAATCTCGAAGTCACCATCGGCATCCAGGTCGGTGACAGCCACGCCATAGTTGAGCTGTGTGGGATTGCTGTCGTAGTCGGGCGGGAGAAGGCGGTGGGTGACGGCTGCAAACATGGGCTCGCTGCGCTGGGAGCCCTCGCTGAGCCAGGCCAGGGACAGCAGGCACAACGCCAGCATCCTGGACACCTGGGAGAGACCTACAGCCCATCAGCTGCAGGAGGAGACTCTGCTCCATGATGCCCAAGCAGCCCCACTGTCCTTGCATGGGAGACACTTCCCTTTCAGCTCTTGCCACAGCACCCCAGCCTGCACCACACCACCTGGCCCTTGGCCCTTGGGCACTGTCACTCTGGCGTCCCCAGGCATGGGCTGTTCTGGGTGCTTCTCACCCCTGGGACAAGATCACACTCCAGTGAGCTGGGGCTGAGCAGCAGCCCAGCCTTGGGAGCCCATTGTAGTAGAGGGACTGGAGAGGCAGCAGGAGGACTGTGGGGTGCTGACAAAGCTGGGCTCAGGCCCAGCTTGCTTTGCCCTAAGGCGCCACTGGCATCCAGGGTCCTGGTAAGTCAAAATGTCAACCCCTGCTCCCTTGGCAGGGTCAGAGGAAGAAGACATTCACTGGCCTGAGGTGTTTGTCTTCTGTCCCACTGGTCTTCCACAGCTGGGGAACTTCACAGGGGGAACACAGGGATATTTTATCAAGTTACTCCCATGTGCCTCAGTTTCCCCATCCTGCTGGAACTGTTCCTCCCAGGGTCTCTGCAAGGTGTGCTCCTTCCAGCCTGGCCAGGGAAGACTTCTGCACAGGGATGCAGCCATTAGGAGATGCTGGGAGGAACAGGAGACTGGGAGGAGAGGCTCATTTAACCTGGACTGCGGAGGACAGCGTCTGCCAGCACTGCTGGCAAGGCTGCAGAGATTTTGGAGCTGCTCTAACCTGGCTGTAGCACAGGTGATGAACAAGATGGTACTCAGGAGTGCAACCCCTCATCCCAGGCCAGGCAGTTGCCTCCAGAGGGGAATAGCCCAGAAAGGAGCTGTGTGAGCTATGGGCATGATCCCACATGCCTGCGCTCCAGCTGGGAGGAAAGCAGCCTGATCTGCTCTTGCAAACTGGAGGGGTGGTTGGGGCACCTGGCCTGCAAGAGGACAGTGCTTCACGTGACTGTGCCACCTCCCTGGGCAGGACTGCCCTCCCCAAACAGGAACAGGCCCCCTGTACTGGAGCAAGTGACCCCACTGCCAGCTGATCCCCATGCTGCTGGACTCCACAGCAAGCCAAGGAAGCTGTGGCAGCTGTGTGGTACCACATGTGCACAGCTTGGAGAGGGGAAGGTGCCCAAGATTTACACCCTAGCAGACCCACTGAGTTGTGGAGAACAGGCTGCTGCTGCCTCCCCTGGGGATGGGAATGGTCCCAAGGCTCTCGGGGGAGGGGGGGGGGGGCAGGATTCCCCTACCTTAACTAAATAGCTTCCAGGCCCACATGGCTGGGCAGGAAGGGGCTGTTCTCCAGCTGCAGAGGAAATCTTAACCCTACTGCCCACAACCCCCAGAGCCCTGTATTTCATTGCACCAGTCTGCTCCCCTTTCCTCTCCAGCCCCATCTGTACCCTGGGCACAGCTTCAAGGGCAGATGAGTGTGTGTCCCCAGCTCTACCCTGTGCTGTTCCTATTCTCTTCCTCTGCCTGTTACCCTACCATATTGTCTGGAGCAGCTCTTGAAAGGCTGGAGCCTGGCTCCTTCTCTGGTGCAGGGGTCCCATTCAAGATACATGTGATGGGGACAGGGTTTATGGGGTTGTTCAGGGACAGGAAAGTCCCTGGGGGTGACTCTGCAGTGCCAGACAGTGAAGGAGGGGGAGCCTTAGCCACAGCCCCACTCCAGGCTTACCAAAATGAGCATGGGAGAGAGCTACTGACATTGTGGACATATGGGTGCAGGGCTGGCACATAAGCCCCTGGCCCTGCAGAGCAGTGCTGCCTCACTCCCAGCCACAGCCAGATGATGGGTGGCTGTCCCCAGGCCATTGGCAGGGCTCCCCATTGTTCCCCACTCCAGCTCCCACTCCCTAGAGCCTGGACTGTTACCCAGGTGCCCCCCCACCTCATCCAGCTGCAGCTGAAATCCCTCCAAGCTGGATGGAGTTCTTCCAGTAGAAAACAATGTTCCTGATTGGAGACAAAAGGCTTTTCCCAGTGAATCCGGTGCTTGGTGCCATGGGGAAGGGATGTCCAGCCCAGAGCCAGGCCATTTTAGGAAGGGGAAGGGAGGGAGACTCAGGCTCTGCATGTCAGATACAGAGGGGCCTCATCATTCCCAGCATGCTTTTGATAGAACCACAGTCCCAGCATAAAGCTTCGCCTGAGGTTTGAGGCTATGGGGTTCTGCCTGTGTGCAGGGCAGACCTCAGTCTACCTTGTTCCAGCAGAGTCACGTCCTGGCTTGTGTTGTGGCATCTCTGGGTGGCAAGGTCACCCCAGGGTGCTTCCTCAATACGGCTAATGACACGAAGCCAAAGTGTCAAGCAGGGACAGAGGCACTGGGAGGATGCCACAGGCACCCATGCAGGGTACAGCCAGGCAGCCCAGGGGGAGGGTGCTGGCCCCATGGCAGAGATGTAAGAGTCATCTGAGCACGTGCATTGCTATGACTGACAGTGCCTGGGAAGGGTGCCATGGGACTGGAAAGGGAGCCGTGGCACAGGCAAGCGATTGTGCCCCAGAGCTCACATCACAAGCGGGGAGATGCTGTCCCCAGATCTCCTCATTGTACACACATGGACATCCCCAGCCCCTAGTCTACATCATGGGTAAGGTGGGTGTTAGGTCCTTGTGTGGCCACCCCATCCCGCATGTCACCGTGACATTGCTGCCCTCCACACCACGCGCCCCAGTGATGTCATGCTCCACCACTGCAGCAACATCCCATTTTGGGCTGCAGTCACCTCCAGCACCTCTACGACATTTCTTGACATCATGCAGCAAGGGCCTCACTGCACCTCAAATGCACCCCAAAGCAGTGACAACACGGTGACATCACAGCACCTCATGCCACCATGCTTCATGTGCCCCAGTAACATCATGTTCTCATTCCTAGCAGTCCCAGGCTGTCACAGCTGTACCTGCCAGGGCAGAGGACAGGCAAGAGATGTCCCGCAGACCCAGCAGACCGCTCTTCTACAGCAGCTGGGCTGCCCAGATTACCAGCAGTGCCCCTCCACAGCTCCTCAGTTCCGAGCAGCCCAGACCCTGCAGTGCCTCTGCTCCAGCCAAAGCCCATGAGCCTGGGTCCTGCTGCGATGTCTGCTCGCTGCTGCGAGCCTGGCCGTCCTACGCAGGACTCCTCAGCTGGACCTGGCAGGCTGGGGCTCAGCCAGCACGAGCTAATGCAGTGTGGAGATGAGCAGTCAGTCACCTTAGCCTCTGAGCTCACCCCAAAGGGACATCAGGTCCTTGGGGGGCTCAGGCCCACCAGCACACAACCAGCACCTTCCCACACAGGCAGGTACACGGCTGGACCCCTCTGCCCACTGACCCCTGCTCCTCCATGGGCTTGGCCACGACCAAGCACAAGCGCTGCTACAAAGAGGGGCTGTCCCTCGCTGCTCACAGTCCTGCTGTCCCTGCCAGCGCTCGCTAGTCCCAGCACACACCCCCCATCGCCGTACAGCTTCTTGAGCACGGTCCTCCTTAGCCCAGCATCCTTCCATCCCCATCCCATCCTTCTTCCCGCTCCCTCCCGGCTCACTACCCCGCATCCCCTCCCCATCACGGGGACAGGCTACGTGCCCGCGGTCCCGCTCCGCCCTCCACCAACTTCTCCCCGGGCCGGTGACCGTGCCGGAGTTGAGAGCCGCCCCTCCCCGCCCCGGAATCCCCGGGAAACTTCGCGGAACAGCAAAGCCACACCGCTACTCACGGGCCAGGGGGGCCGCCCCGCACCCCCACGGCGGCGGGAGCGCATCCCGCAGCTCCGCCTCGCCTCCCGCCTGCGGCCGCACCGCTCCCGGCTCCCGACGGGGCCGCTCCGGCCGCGCGGCGCCTTAAGAACGGGCGGCGGCGGCGGCGAGCGGGGCGGGGGGCGCGGCTGCCAATGGGGAGCGCGGGGTGGGGCCGCCCGCCGCCAGGTCCGGCCCCGCCGTGCTGCGGGGGGGCACCGGCGAGCATCGCCCCGGGCACCGGGCACAGGCTGGAGGAGAGGGGCGTCCCGGATCCCGGCGTGCAGGGGATCCACCGGCTGAGGGAGCTGCGTGGGCACGGCGGGCAGTGTGTCCCGGCTCGCTGCGGTCACTCCTGGGGTGCTGGGTAGGGAGCAGTCGGGGCATGGCTGGGCACGGCTCCCCAACTCCTGCAAGGGCAGCTGGCGAGATGAACCGAGCAGAGCCAGGAGCCTGCCCCGGCCTGGGGGCGGCGGGGATCTGGCGCAGGAGGAGGAAAGAGAAAGGAGCTGGGCAACCCGCCCCCCCCCCCCTCCCCGGTGTAACACTATTTCCTTGGAAGCACAAGGGAGAACAGTTTTAAACTGAGAGAGGGGAGATGTAGGTTAGGTGTTAGAAGGAAATTACTCACAGTGACAACGGGAACAGGTTGCTCAGAAAAGTTTTGGGTGCCCCATCCCTTGAAGCATTCAAAGCCAGGCTGGATGGAGCCCTGGGTGACCTGATCTAGTAGGCAGCGTCCCTGCCCATGGCAGGGAGATTGGAACTAGATGATCTTTAAGGTCCCTTCCATTCCAAACCATTCTACTGTTCTATGAATCTAACATTCAGCCACACTCCGAGGGGTCAGCATCTCCCAGTGTCATCATCCTGCCTGGCACCACCTCTCTCTGCAGGGACCCCAGGAGTGGCTGTGCCCTGGCAGCCAGTCTGAACTCCAAGAAAGGCCCCGTCTTAGGTCATTGCAAGGCACTGACTTGCCAAAAATCTTGTATCCAGTGGATGTGTGAGGCAGGATTGCATCTAGACAAGCCTGCCTTTCCCAACATGTTTTCCTAAGGGGCTGGGCACTGAGCTCTCTGTGTGTCTCTGGAAGCAAAAAGTGGCTGTGGCAGGGACTGGGACAGCACTGACAGGGCACAAGGCCAGCAGGTCACCATGGTGTAGCACATTCACAGGTGCCCCAGCACAGAGTCTGGGGCTGCGGCCACTGTGAGAGACAGCAGGAGAGACATGCTGGAAGACAGCAGGAGCTACAGAAACTCATGCCACTGGGGCTGCTTCAAGTGGCTAATCACCTCCTCTGCTAAAGCCCTTATTTCTCATTGAACATGTCTGGCTACAGCTTCTGCCTGTTGCTCCTGGTTCTTCTCTCACTGTTAGATTCGAGAGCTCTCCAGTCAGTGATTGTTTCCCACAAAGGTGCTTCCATACAGCCATCAAATACCCCTTTATCTCATTTCTGATGACTCCCTCTTGCAGGGTGTCTGGCTGAGCACCAGGCTTGCTGTGTAGTTGCCTGCTGCAGGGTCCTCACAGCCAGAATGTTGGTATCCAGGCACAGGGACCCTGCTGTAGGGCACTGCCACGGGGCAGGAACCACACCTGCTCTCTGCATTTGCCATGGTGAGCCATAATGCCAAGCAAGCCCACTAGCCCAGGATGTCAGTGTGACCACTGCACATGTGCAATGCTGTGCTCATGTGGCCCTGTGCACAGCAGTGCTGCGGGTGTGCTCTGCCTGCCGGTGTCCACAGCCCCAGTGCCTGGCTGCACCCTTGCATCAGCGCGTGTGTGCTCATGGTGAGCACCCCTGCTGCCGAGTTGCTCGCTCATCCCAGGTTTGGTAACCACCCGGATAATTATTTGTACAAACTGCAAGCTGGCTCCCAGTGCCCTCTCTGTGACCGGCAGGTACAGAAAACACACATGCCGGCAGGAAGCCAGCTCAAGCATGCCAAGACTGTGAATGGCACTGGGCACGCTGGCTCCCTGGGGCTCTAAACCCAGCATGCCAGCACAGCGGGGCTTGGCTCTGGCCATGAGCACATGCACACACAGGCAGGGCTGTGGGTGTGCCAGCGCAGCGTGCACGTGCAGCCGTACAGCCGTGCGTGTGCATCGGTGTTTGCACGATGGGCACAGCTGGGCACACCGTGCCCCGCGCGCACGTGTGGCTCCGCAGGTGCCGTGTCCGCAGGGATGTGCTCACCCCACGGCACCCCATGAGCACACACGTGCTGTGTGCCAGCATGACACACGTGCCAACACGGCCCTGCACGCTGCAGCCTCCTGCCACTGGCACCCAGCGGGGTGGTTTTCCACTCATAGGGCTGCAAGGTATCCCCGATACCTGCTTTTGGAGCTCCTTCCCATGGATTCTGCCACCTTGCCAGGCTAGGATATTTCTTTGAGGGACAAGAGAGGCAGCAGGCACCTTGCTACAACAGTCGTGGACATAAGAAATGGCCTTGCTCCAGTCCCTGGGCCCTGTGCTGGCCAAGACATCTCCATCCCACCCCTCTGGTTGCACCAGGGACATTACGGGGCAAACACCTTGGGGTGGGACACAGCTCTCTACAAGGGGCTGCAGAGGGAAGCACAGAGCATCAGTGAAATGAGCTGGGATGCATGAGAACATTCGCAGAGACGTTTGCAGAGCAGTGAGGGAGGGTGCAGGCGTTGGGGCATAGGGAGCCTGGCAGTGTGGTGCACGGAGGGGGGTGGGATGTGCAGGGAATGGTGGCACGGTGATGGGGACAATGCACAGGAAATTAGAGCGAGCAGCAGCCAGACACGCTGTGGGGGGAAGGGAAATGCTGCGCTCCACTGAGGGCTGTGCAAAGGCGGGGGAGGCTCTTCTGCTGAGCTGGGGCCAGCATGAGTACCAGCCACCTCTTTGCACATCTGGGACCTCCCCTTCCCATCCCCAGGACTAATATGTCCCAGTTTTCTCTGGCCCTTGCTCCTGGGGGCCCATCCATGCTGACCCAGCTCCCAGGGAATGGGGACCCTCTTAAAGCTAGCAGCCCTGACGCTTGGTGACTCTCTGCCTGGTGGTTCATTTGCCAACCCAGGCTCTCCCTGGGAGAAGGCAGCAGGAAAGTGGGGAGCAGTCTGCCCCTTGATTCATTGCAATGGGCAGAGGGGTGCCAAGCAGAGTAAGCCTGTGTGGTGGCAGTGCCAGATGATCTCCTTGGTACTTTCAGGGACAGTACTGCTCTGTGAGCAGGATGGGAATACACTTAGGATCAGGAATCCACCCAGGATCAGGTGGATTCATAGAACACTCATCCAGCAAATGTCCTCTCCAGCAAATTCCAGATGGTGCAATACAAGGAGGGTGCAGGTGAGCACAGGAATGCTGACTGAAGGCACTAACTTCCAGATACTTCACTGGAGCTGTCATTCCCCTTTCTAGAGCATTTTCAGGGCCAGACACCTGCACACAGCCTGGTGGGTGCACAGCACACACACACACGCACTGCCAGCACACTTGCAAGCACCTACATGGACTCACACACAATAGTCTGTGTGCAGCCACCCCATCTGCTTGTGTGAGCAGTCAGTCTGCCGCCCAAATGTGCGTGCAGGCCATGCACACACACACACACACACCTGCACTCACACGTGTGTGCAGCAATGTGCATACATCCCATCATATACCCCTGCTGCTTTTTGACACAAGGAGAGGGCACACGCTGCCACCACAACACGCTGCAGGATCCCTCAGCTGCCAAGCTGATCTTGGCACTTGCCTGGCACTGCTTTTTTCTCTGGAGGGGCTGTGCTGGGACATCCCTGCTCCAAGGGTCTAATTTCCACTGTAAATGTATTCATGGATAATTTATCCACAGTTGTTCCTGTGCTAATGTTGTCTTTTAGCTGAAATAGCTCTCCTCCTCCCTGGCGTTTACCCTGCTGATGTATTTATAGTGAGCTCTCTGTTTCCCCACAGCCTGCGCTGTGCTGGGCACCCCTCGCTGTCCTTCCTTCACGGGTCTCCTGGGCTATACTTCCTTGGGAGCCCCATGATACCTCTGATCCTCTTCCAGGCTGATTCCAGCACAGGCAAGTCCCTTGGGGCCCATGGAGGCATGAAGGCAAGTGCCCAGGCCTGCCAGAAACGCCTTACTGTTTCCTCCTAGGATTGCTTTTGCCTCTCCCATGTCTGCATGCCCATTGTGTGGTGGCTCACAGTGATGGACACCCATGCTCAGACGGCTGCTTGCTTGATCCCTCTTCTCCCTGCTGTCCCCTCCCTGTCACTGTCCCGCAGTGTCTGATCTCCTGTCTTGCCCACAGACCTCCTCTCTCTTTGGTCCTGCACCCCAGACCATCACACTGTTCCCATGTCCCCTGTCTCAGCGTGGGAGTCTCTTTGTGTCGCAGCTGGCAGTGACCTGGCGACTGTCACTCATGCCAGCAGCTCCCTGTGAGCTTTTGCCTCCTTCCCCAGTCCCCTCCTCCTGCCAGCAGGAGTCCCTCTCAGGTGCTCGCTGGGCATGGCAAGCCCTGGGAAGGCCTCACCGAAGTCAGGTTAATCCCCGAGTTTGTTTAATCTAGTCTTCCAGTCCTCTTCCTCACAGGCTTTCTGCGTCCTTGGCAGCAGCAGGGTGTGAATGCTGGACCCCAAACACTGCTCACCCAGAGGGTCTCCAGGGGTTCCCAGCCCCTGCCCTGGGACCCCCAAGCCTGCAGCTCTCTCACAGCCCAGCACCTGTCTTTGCACAACCTCCCTGGACCACGCACGGTCCCCAGCCTCTCCTGCCACCGTGCATAGTGCCCCGGGTCCCCGCTTGGACTCTTCCTGTCGCCGGGACATCATTAGAAATGTTAATTATTTATTATCACTAAAAGCCCTTTTTGCTGCATTGCTGTTCTCTGCCTATCTCTCTGCCCCGTGCTGCCTGTAACCGGATCCGCCTGTGCTTCCCTCCTGCCCCGCAGTCCCTGTCCCTGCTTTCCCTCCTGCTTGCTGCGACACAGGGTGGGGGCGAAGATGTGGCCCTATGGGACGAGCTGGACTTGTCCCCCCGGGATC